TACAAATATTATCGCTTCTAATTCACACACCAACCCTGAGGTAAGTGACATTATTAGCTCCATTTTACAGTTGAGGAAATTAAGACAGAAAGAGATTAAGTGACTTGCCCAGGGTCACACAGCTAGTATGTGTCTAAGGCCAGATTTGAACTCAGGTCCTCTTGGTCCCAGGCCTAGCATTCTGCGCATTGTACCACAAGCACCATGATAACAGGATAAATTGGAGATACCCAACAGAGGGAAGGCACTAACATTAAGAGGGATCAGGAAAGGCTTCTGGTCCAAGATAAGATTAATTGGAACCAGGGAGAGGGCAGTGTAAGAGGAGAGAAGGGGGTATGTTGGAGAGATGCTGCAGAGGTGAAATCGACAGGTCTTGGCACCATATTGGATCTGGGGAGTGAGAGAGAGGGAGGAAAGCAGGATGACTCCTAGGTTGGGAGGCTGAGGGACCAGGATAGGGGTGCCCTCCATTATAATAAGAAAAATAGGAGGGAGAGGGGGAAGAGAGTGAGTTCCATCTTATACATCCAGTTTGAGATCCACAGACACCAATCTGAAAGGCAGGTGGAGATATAAGATTGGAAGTCAGCAAAGAGCTTGGGACAGGAAAGGTAGATCTGAGAATACTCAGTGTAGGGATGGTAATTAAATCCATGGGAGATTAGATCACCAAGCGAAGTAGGACAGAGGGAGAAGAGAATCCAGGACTGAATTCTGAGACACCTATGATTAGTAGGCATGGTCTGGAAGAAGATCCAGCTAAGGAGACAGAAAAGTGGTCAGAGACATAGGAGAACCAGGAGAAAGGGGTGTCCCCAAAACCTAGAGAATGTCCAGGAGAAGATGATGATTGGCACTGTCCAAGGCTGCTGAGAGGTCAAGGAGAATGAGCACTGAGAAAAGGCCATTGGATCCGGTAACTAGGAGATCATTGGTGACTTTGGAAAGGGCAGCTTGGGTGGAATGATGAGGTTGGAAGCCAGATAGTGAGGAGTTAAGGAGAGTGAGAGGAAAGGAAGCATATGTTGATTATTGATAACTTTCTCAAGGAGTTTAACCACCGATGGGAGGAGAGATAGGGAATAATAGCTAGTGAGGATGGAAGGATCATCTGAGGGCTTTTTGAGAAGGGAGATATGGGCATGTTTGTAGGCAGTGGAGGAGCCAGGAGAGAGGGAGAGGCTGAAGACAAGTGAGGAGGGGTGTGGTCTCTTGGAGGAGATGGGATGGAAGGAGATCACCTGAGCAGGCAGAAGGGTCACTCTTGGTCGGGAGTCAGGCCACCTCATCGTGGTGGACAGGGAGGAGAGAGGGGAAGAAGACACCCAAGTGACGGTGAGGAGGAAGCAGGGGTTTCAGCTGAGAGTGGGGGAGGGGAGCCGTGGGACCGCCCAAGTAGTCCTTGACACACAAGGTGAAGAACCCCTGCACTGGGGGCTCTCCAGGTCCTTTAATTGTCTGCTCCTGCGACCCAGGATCAGTTCTAGTGCAGTCAAGCTCTGTCCCTCATCAATCCCCAAGATCCTGGTTCTGAGGGAAATGCAGCTGCTGGGGGCCAAACAAGGCTACTGGATTTGGAGTCAAGAAGCATTTTCCATTCTTGGAGCTGCCCCTTCCCTCTGGGCTTTCTCACTTTCCCGACAGGCACAGGGAGGGGTTGGGTTTGACACCCTCAAAGGGTCTTTTTGTGAGGTCTCTCTGCAGCGCCTCTATCCCGGAGTGACCTCAGACGTAATGCCCACCGATGATCTGTACTGAGCACTTGGACCTGAGCCCCGGCCTCTGCAAGGAGGTGGTGCAGTCTAGGGGGAGCCCCTCTCTGGGGGTTGCTGGCCTGGCTCAGCTCCTTGTTGTGTGGCTCCTCACAGAGCTTGCTTCTCCTCTGAGGATGGTGACTAGTAACCCATGTCACCCCACGTTACAGAGCAGGAAACCGCAGCTTAGGAGTCAGAAATTTGCAGCCATGAGTGATAGACATGGTCTTTGTAGGCAGGTCTCAGCCAAGTCCCTGGGCAGGTGGGCAGTGCCCAACCTGCCTCACAGGCTCAGGCTTCACAGGCCTCCCAAGGCTCCAGATGCATTCTTACTCCTGGGCTTCTTTCTAGGCCACTTGTTCTCCTGGCCCTGCCCAGGAATCCCTGCAGAAGGGGAGAGCCGGTATCTTTTCACATGCCTCCTCATTGCTCTTCTCCTGTCTAGACCTCACTTCCACCCGCCATCTCTCCTAGAACCGCTTCCCATCACCTTAACTGCCTTCCAAAGCCTTCAGTAGTGGAGCCAAGGCCTTGCACCTGCTTGAGTTGGCATATTTCCCTTGGGCCCCACAGTCCCCGAGACAGAAGCCCAGGCCTGGAGTACCTGACCAGTCCAAGCTCTGGCCGCGCCCCCCCCCCCTTTCTCATCATTTAGTAATTTCTCAGCTCCATTTACCCTCCAGGAGGCTAGGGGTGGGGAGCAATCTGACATCAGATGCTGGCTCCAAAAAGCCAGGATGGGTGGGCCAAGCTGGGATGGGGGATGGGGTGGGGTCAGGTAGATAATGCCCCAAGCAGATGGAGCCAAGAGCTGTCCCCTGGCCTATCTTCTTTTTCTGCTGCCAAGCATTCTCCCCATTTCTCCTGATCTACATCTGGGTGAGCTCAATGGTATTGCCAGATCTGCAGTGTGGACTGGTGAGTGCACTGGAGAGGCCAGCAAGGACCCATCATCACCTTTGACTATGGGTTGGAAACAGCTCCCAGGGCAAGGGAAGCCCATTGGCAGCTGGGAGGCACCACAGTACATAGTTTGGGACCCAGAGTCAAAGACCCGAGTTCAAATCTAGCTTCAGGCATGTGACCTAGGACAGGTCACGCCACCTCCACATGCCTCTCTCACAAGTCTGTAATAAGGACCATGGAGCTAATGTTTGTCAAGTGCCCAGCTCTTCCTCACTCTTCCCCTTCCCAACAGCCCTCCAGGCACAGCGCCCAGACAAAGATGGTGAGAGGACAGCTGAGGAACAGCTCCAATCTCCATAGACCTGGCTCTAACACCAGGGTTGTGAGGGGCCTTCCTCTTCCTGAGGCCCGGTGTGCCCCTCAGTGAGACAGAATTCTACCACCCATGTGACCTGCCCTTCTCTGGGCCACAGTTTCCCCATCTATACACAGAGGGCACTGGGCTAGGTCATCTCTGCGGGACCGACAGCTCCAACACCTGGGACTCTGTGAATCTCATCTGTTACTGCCCAGGAGGCCAGGGACCCAAACAGGAAGGGCCAGAAGCAAAGAGGAAGCTACGGCCTCCCTCCAGCACAGAGCTGCCTATCTGAAGGTCGACGGAACGTCTTCTGCACGGCGTCCATCATTTCTGATGGGGGCGTCAGGTGCCTCAGTGGTCATAACAGACCTTCATTTCTATCCCATTTACAGGTGAACAAACGAGCTCGGCTTAGGCGACTTTCCTGCCATCCTACGGCACGTTAAGAGTCAGAGGCATGAAAGGGGCTTTCGCCCCCCTTGACGAGTTGGAGGAAGTAAAGGTCCTGAGAGCTGCCCAGTGGCTTGATTGTCTGCCCCCGGCCCCAGCGACTGCTGCTCTGAATGAGACAAGCCCAGCTTGTCCAAACCAGGCGGGCAGTTTTAACTGCATGCAGGCCACGCCAGAGGGGTGGCAGCAGCTGCTTTCCCAGCAGGCCCCAGGACAGGGAAGTTTCCTGTTCAAACATCCGTCTCTCCCTTTCTCTGCAATGGGGGAGATCCTGACTGCTTTCTTTATCCCACCATCACTTCTCTCCACCCTGAGCCTCTAGCACCACTGAGGCCTCCCTCCTCCCACAACCTGCTTCCAGGCTTGGGGAAAGAAATCATTTTGTAAACCAAGAGGCGCCAGAGGCATGGGACCCAAGAAGGCAGGGCCCAGCTGCTGCTGATCCATCCACCCCACTCACCAGTACCCTGGGGATACAAAGGTGGACTCTGCAGCAGGTGTCCTTCCCCCCCGAGATGGGGGTGCACCCTAAGGAGGATGGCAGACATTCACCTGCTGCTTAACGTTGCCTCAGCCTGTCAAAAGCATCTTCTATCGTTCAGCCTCACATCTGCTTCTCAGGAAGGAGCCATTATTGCCCCCACTTGACAGAGGGGGAAACCAGCCTATGCAAGGACAAGAGACATGTCCAAAGCAACATGACTGATTTGTGTCAGAGACCTTCCTCAGGCTGCCTCTCACTGAAAGTGAGGGACCCTACTGACAAGTGGGCAAAGGATATGAACAGGCAGTTTTCAGAGAAAGAAATTAAAGCTATTTACAGTCACGTGAAAAATGCTCTAAACCACTGCTGATTAGAGGAATGCAAATTAAAACAACTCTGAGGTACCACCTCACATCTATCAGATTGGCTAATATGACAAAATAGGAAAATGATAAATGCTGGAGAGTATGTGGGAAAACAGGCGCACTGATGCATTGTTGGTGGAGTTGTGAACTGATCATTTTGGAGAGCAATTTGGAACTGTACCCAAAGAGCTATAAAATTGTGCATACCTTTTGACCCAGCAATACCACTACTAGGTCTGTGACCCCAAGAGATCATAAAAAAAGGAAAAGGACCCACATGTACAAAAAGATTTATAGCAATTCTTTTGTGGTGGCCAAGACTTGGAAATGGAGGGGGTGCCCATCCATTGGGGAATGGTTGAACAAGTTGTGGGATATGAATGCAATGGAATACTATTGTGCCATAAGAAACGATGAGCAGGAGGACTTCAGAAAAGCCTGGAAAGACTTGTATGGGCTGATGCTGAGTGAAATGAGTAGAACCAGGACATTAACAGAAATATTATGCAATGATTAAGTTTGATAGACTTAGGTCTCCTCAGCAATGATCCAAGACAATTCCAAAGGACTCATGATGGAAGATACTATCCACATCCAGAGAAAGAACTATGGAGTCTGAATGCAGATCGAAACATTCGATATTTTCTCTTTTTCTGTTGCTTTTTCTCTCATGGCTTTTCCCTTTTGTTTTGATTCTTCTTTCACAACATGGCTAATGTGGAAATATGTTTAAAAAAATAAAAAATAAAAGTGAGGGACCCAGCACAGTTACATCTATGAGTCCTATGACCTCAGCCCCGGAGGCCTCTTCCCTTCTTCACATCCTTGCAGAATGGTGTTGATCTGCCCAAGACAGAAGCCCCAAGTGTGGGCCCCTAAAAGGGAAGGTCCGATGTAGCCGGTGGTGATTTGCGGAGGGAGAGACAACATTCAGCTGGGCTGGAGGGCACCTTCAGAGATCAGTCCTATGAGCAAACAAGGGAGGTCTTACTGGATACAAAGCTGTCCTTTGTTATTAAGTCCCAGACTCCTCAGGCGGTTGGGAATAAACACACTACCAGAGGAAAAGAATTCCCATCTCTACCAAACACAGAAGAGCCGGGGTTCGAGACTCTCAGCTGGCCCTCAGCGGTCAGGAGGGGGCCGCAGGAGGGGCGGCCTCTGCGGGGGCCGGGCCCGCCAGGGCCGCCCGCAGCAGGCCCTCCGTCTCAGGAGTCAGAGGGGCATGGGAGAAGCCGCAGTGGTCGCCCTGGTAGCACTTGGCGCCCGTGTGAAAAAACTTACACGGGAATTCGCCGTGCAAGAAACGGCAGTGGTCACCCCGTGTACAGTAGCCCTGCACATAGAACTTGCACAGCTGCTGGAACTTGAGGCCATCGGCCCCGTGGTCCAGCCGGCACTGCTCTCCACGGACACACCGTCCAGCCAGGAAGTACTTGCACACCCTCTGCGAGCCCAGAGCCACCGTGTTCTTCTGGACAAACTCCTGGCTCACGGGGGCACGCTGGGGGGCTGCGGGAGGGCCCGCTGGGCGCCTGGGGGCCTGGGCCTTCACCGGCCCTACCCGCTTCCTCTTCTTGGCCCGGCTGGCGCCCCCAGCCCCGGCGCCGCGCTTGGCTCCCTTCTTCGCCCCGCCCTCCACAGGCTGGGGTGCCGGGGCCGCCTCAGGGGCCTCCCTCTCCCGTCGGTATTGCTCAAGGAGCTGGGCAAAGTCCTCCTCCTGGGGCTGCTTCCCCTTGGCGGCAGAAGCCCCGGCCTTCTTGCCTCTCCTCTTGCTGTCTGGCCAAGGGCTGCCACCTTGGCCACTACATTTCTTGGGCCTGGCTTCCTCCTGTCCAGGCCTGCGGGCGGCACCACCTGGGCTTGCTGCCCTGGGTCTGGGGCCAGGAGCAGGCCTAGAGGATGGCAAGGCTGGAGGTGGCACTGGGAGCAGAGGTTCACAAGCCACGCTTCCTGTGCCTGAGAGTGCCATGCTGGGGGAAAGCATGGGGTTTGGAGGTTTGCAAAACAGGTCCCCAAAATCCCAGCGGGGAGAACAGCGGGGGGACAGTGTCTCTGTGGCCACGGGGCCATTGGGGCTGGGAGGTTTGCAGATGACATCTTCCAAGCTGCTACAGCCAGGGCTGAGCTCCAAAGGAGGAGAGTCTGAGGTCTGGCAGGGGCTTGAAGGCTCATGGGCCAGATCCCCAAAGCTGGTGAGGCTAGGCGAAGGCCCAGTGGGTAGAGTGTTCAGGGCCAACCCATGGCCCAACTGCGGGCAGGTCAGCTTCCCGCAGCCCTCCTGGTCTGAGACACGTGGACCTTGAGTCAGGCTGGGGCCAAGCATGGGATTCGGGGGTTTGGAGAAGAGATCTTCAAAGGGCACCAGGCCAGTGGGGAACAGTGTGGAAGACATGGTACACACAGCTCTGGGTCAAGGCTACCTTCAGGCCAGCCAGCCATGAGTCAGCTCAAGGTCCCCAAGGGCAGGTACAGGCAAACGCTACCCTGGAAGACAGAAGAAGCACTTGGCAGGTCTGCAGCCATCTCCCCACACTCCAGGCACCCTCTGTGTCTGCCCCCCATGCTATGTCCACCTCTGGGCTTCCCTCAAGCCTCAGCCAAACCCCCCCCCTTGCCTCCTCAATGTTTTCCCCAGGCCTCCTCTGAGACAGCTGATCCTGTATGGGTCCTCTTCAACCACGCCTTCCTTCCCCAGGGCACTCCTCATTACTCTGCCCAGCCCTCCCCTCTGACAGGAGGGCACTAGGGCTCTGCCCAGTCTTCTCCCTGCTCTCTCTGCTGCCCCCACTAGAATGTAAGCTCCGTGAGGGCAGGGATTGTCTTTGGTCTTCCTCTATATTCCCTGCCCTTAACACAGGGCCTGGCACAGTAGGCACTTTAGCAACGCTTGCAGACTCAAGGAGGGACCTCTTCTAACAGCCCAGACCACCCTAGGGGCAGTGACGGAATCTGGAGAGCATCACCGGCTCTCAGAATGGGAAGGGCCCCTGCAGCAGGAAGTGGGGCTGTGGGACCACTCTGATTTTCACAAGTATTTCCTTGAGCCAAATCCTGTAAGGCCTAGAAGAATCTCAGCCCCTCCAGGATCAAAGCCCCCAGCGAAACACCTCTTCTTGGTAAGCAGACCCTGCCTCATCTACCAACATCCCTCCACGAGTCTGCGGGGCACTCACCTCTCTGGCATCCAGGCTGGGGGATGACCGAACCTCGGAACCTCTGCTCCTCAGGTGGCCCTGTCCTGAGGCCCTGGCCCTTGTCCCACTCAAAAGGGGTGCAGACTCAATGCCGTGTCCCCACCAGAGTACAGGCACCTCCATGGAGACACTGCTCTAGGGGGTCCAGGAGAGAGGACAGGGGACGTCTCCAGGCCGGAGTGCAGCCAAGGGTCAGCTACCTAAAAACAGATAAAGACAAGAATGGTGGCAGAGGGCTGGCAGATGGGCCTCCGAGGCCTGGAGGACAGACTTAGCCACACGACAAAGCTAATTAATGTCACCATCACCAAGTCCTGGACTTTAGCCACGAATCCCCTGAAGGGGGCTGTGGGGTCCAAAGATTTTCAAAACCACTCCAAGACCTCTTCTCATTCAGAAATACTGACAGAACCCACAGAAGCCAAAGCCGGGTGTGGGGAGTCCTCAACGACTTTCAAGAGCGTAAAGGGGTTCTCACACCAAAAAGCTGGGGAGACAGCCAAAGCCCGTCCTTAAGTCAAGGGGAAGAGAGAATGGCCAGTTTTTTCCTTCACCAGCCGAGTAAACTCGGGTCCACGGATGTGCTGGGATCGAATCCTAGTGTCCTGCTGCCAGGCTGCCGATCGGAGGTCAGCCGCCTCAGGCCCTGGCCACAGGGACAAGACTCTGCGGGGGTGGGGGGGGGCGCAGATGGAGCCGGGCGCATCCGCGCACGGTCGCCCCCGCCTTTCTGCCCCCTCCCTCCTTGGGGCTCCACAGTCTCCTGATTCCAAATCCCTGCGGGGAGGTGGAGGGCGCTGGAGAGCCACCTCCAGAGCCAAAGGAAAACTGGAGGGGGAGCCCCTCCTCTCTCGGGGAGAGAGGTCCTGAGGTGCCCAGGGCCTTCTTTCCCAGGGCTGGCCAGGAAGCGGCACTTCCGCTCCGGCCAAAGTCCGAGGACTGGGGTCTCTGCGCCAGCGGTCTGGGCGCACGGGGCCAGTCCTGGGTCTGGGGGCGAGCAGTCGAGAAGGCGGGGCACTGACCCCCACCTCGCCCCCACGCCAGCGTCCGGCCCTGACCTCCGCAAGCCCCCCCGCTGAGGCCCCCTTCTCCCCAGCTGCAGACCCCAGGGAGAGATGCCGGTGATGCCCCTCCCTCAGGGGCAGACGGGGGGGGGGTTTGGGAGGGCGGGGCCCCCTGCTGCCCCGCATCTCTGACCGAATGCTCTCGTGCCCCCGATCTGTTTGGGGGGCCCCGGCCGCCCAGACTCGGGTCAGGGCTTCCTCACGCCCCGCAGCTCGAACCCCGCCCCCGGAGCCCCAGCCCAGTGGGGGAGGAGCCAAGCCACGGGACCCTGGTCACCATCCTCACCCTAATCATCCTCAACCCCCGGAGCGCTGCCCGCCCCCTCCCCCGCGGGAAGCTGGAAGGACCCAGGTCCCGCCTCCAGCAGGGAGGCAGCTCCCCGAGAGGACTTCCGCCCCCGCCCCGCTAACCTCCCGCTTGGCCTCCGGGGCAGCAGGAGACGCACCAGCACTTGGGGGATGGGGGGAAGGGGTTGGTGTGCCCTTGACCCTGACCCCGACCCTAACCCCAACCCCGACCACCCTCGTGAGCACGTACCTGCGGCTGAAAGCCTGCCGAGGTCACGCAGCCGCAAAGCATGCTCGGAGGTACAGACTCCGCCCCTCACGCCACGTGCAATGTGACGTCACGCACGCCCTAAGGCGCGGTAGTCAACATAGTCACCGTGAAGCGCCAACCTCCCCCGCCAGCCAGACCGGCGCATCGACGCATGCGCAGATGCGGACACTCCCAGAAGGCAACGCGTCAGGACGGGACCCACTCTCGGGCAGAACCACTCCCCCTCTCCACCCCTCCCGGCTGCAACTAGCTCTCGTCCTGACCCAGAACGTGGGCGCTACTTGGCGGTATTGCGCATGTACAGAAGAATCAGGAGCCGCAGTGCGTCCCCGCGCCGCATCCCGTCTCTATGGCAACCTCCGGCTGACCCACGCCCCCTGCTGCTGGCGGCGCCCTGGTCCAGGCTCTCTAACGTCCCTTCTACCACGGCCCACCGGGGCCGTGGGGGCAGGGGCGCCTGCTGCGTGCCAGACACTGCCAAGGGCCCACCCCAGAGCCAGGCTGCGAGCTCCCCCAAGGGAGGGCCTGGATCCTTTGTGCGCTGCGGGTACACAGCAGGCGCTTAACCAGTGCTGGATGCCTGACCCTGGGGCCGGCCCGGGGCTGTCCTCACCCCCCGAGGAAGTAACAGCGGTGGAGAGCCCCTCCTTGGGAGGAAAGCGTCCCGTAGAGAGGGCCCCCACGTGCCCAGACCGTGGGAGGAGCCTTAAGCAGAGCTCAGGCTTATCCACCACCAGGGAGAAAGCCTTTGAGTGTCCTGAGTGCAGGAAGACTTCGGCCACCCCTCGGCCGTGGGCGTCTGTCGTGGACAACGCTGGGCAGAGGCCTTGCCACGTGGCCAGGTGCAAAGGCTTTCGGCCCTAGTTCAGCCCTCCTCCCACACAGGGGGATGTGTGGGGTGAGAAGCCCTGTGGATGCAGCAGTTGTGGGAAGGCCTTCACCCAGAGCCATCCCTATCCTTCACAAGGAGGTTCACACCGGAGAAAAGCCCCCTGAACAACAGAGGATTCACAGGGGGAAGACCCTTTGAATGTCGTGAATGCGACAAGGCCTTTGCTCAGCGCTCCTATCTGACAGAGGGCAGAATTCACGCAGGAGAGAAACGCTTTGAACATGATCACTGTGCAAATCTTTCAGCAAGTGTGTACACTTGGGCTGGCATCAGAAAATCCATAATGGAGAAAGACCCTATGAGTGTGGGAGTTGTGGAAATGCATTTAGTCTCCAATCAGCCCTTCATTAACACGAGAGAATTCACACTGGAAAAACCCCGGAGAGGAAAGCCAAGAATGTGGGAAGGTCTTCAGCTAGAGTGAGTACCTTACCCAGCACCAGAGAGGAGCCCCGGAAATGTAGTAAGTGTGGAAGAGCCTCATTGCAACATCAGAGACTTCACACTAGGGAAAGGCTGCAATGGCGATAAAGCCAAATATCCGGGGCCAAGGAGGCAAGAGGGGAAAGCAGACCACGAGATCTTTGTTTAAAAGCCCTGTTGTGTTCTGTGTAAATGTGCATTACTACTAAGATTCCGGCATAGCTTGGGTTTGTATTCTGTTTGTGGCAGAGACCTCAAGGGTTTGATTTGGTAAGGAATCATTTAAAAATGCAGCAAGTAGGCACCTCACTTAGGAAAGAGAGTCCACAGCAATTTAGAAGGAGTTTGACAGTGGGGCCACTGATTGGGAAGAGCTGAGGAAAGGAAGGAAAGGAGAGAAGAAAGGAAAGAGAGAGGGAAGGAGAGACAGGAAGGGAAGAAGGGAAAGGAGGGAGGGTGAGAAGGAAGGGAAGAAAGGAAAGAAGCATGGAAGAAAGGAGCGAAGGAAGAAAGGAAAGAAGCAGGGAAGGAAGGAAGGAAGGAGAGAGGGAGGAGACTGTGTGCCAGGCTCTGTCCTAAACTCTGAGACATCAGATATACCAAAAGGAGGTACACTCTACTTGGGTAGGATAGCCCCCTAGTGGGGAGTTTTGGTCTGGGAAGTCGAAGAAACAGAGCTGACACTCAGGGGAGACAGTTGGCACACCCTTTCCTCAGGAAGAGGAAGATGAGTTAGACTGGGCAGCAGGCAAAGGGCCTGAGGCTGGGGGTCCGGGAGGATGAGCATGGCCTGATTTTCACCCAGACCAGGGAGTTCAGGCACCATGGTCTCTTCTTTATTCTTGACTTCTGTTCAAGGCTTGGGGGTCTGTGTAAGAATACTGCTCTTCCTCAGTCATTGCAGCTGATCACTTTCCCTCCTCAGCCTCTTAGTTTCCTTCAGACTTAAAGCTGCCCTCTGCGAAGTCTCGCTCAGTCACCTTCGCTCCTGCTTCCCCTCCCAGATTAGCCCCCTCTACTGTGCATGTGTACCTGCACACACAGACCAGCATTTCTATAAAATCACAATGAGAGGGAGAGACTGAGACTGAGCGACCGTGCCTAAGCATTTCCGTGTTTTCCTGTTAGATCATGAGCTCTTGTGGGCAGGGGCTGTTTTGGTCTTTCTTTGTGTCTGCAGTGATTAACCCGGTGCCTGGTACCCAGTAGATGCTTCCTAAGCACTTGGTGCCAGGCACTGTGCTGGGTGGTGGGGATACAAAGACCAGCAGTACAGCCCCTGGCCACGAGGACCTTACATTCTCTCAGGGAGAATATGTACATAGCTCACTAAATACAAAACATGCTGGGGTTCCGGAGGGCATTCCAAGGGTGGGGCCCAGGTAAGAGGTAAGAGATGGCAGAGGCTGCCCAGTCCACTTCTTCATCTTACAAACGAGGAATAAAAAGCTCCAAATGGGAGTCACAGAGGTTTAGTAAGGGTCTGAGGTGGGATTGGGACTTTTCTGAGGAATTCAATATTTAACCACCTACTATGTGCTGGTCACTGTACAAAGTACTTTTTAATAAATATCTCGTTTGATCCTCACGACATTGAGAAAAGCAGGTACAGTTTTACAGCTGGGGAAACTGAGGCAGACAGCCATGAAGTATTTGAGGCAGGATTTGAACTCACCCCATCCCCCAGCTCCTCGGCCTTCATTTCTCTAGCACCTTGGGTTCTGTGTCCCTTGTCTAGCTTGATCCTCACAACTGTTCTTTCCATTTGACAGAGGAGGAAACAGGAGGCCCAGAGGGCCAAGAACAAGAAAGGCAGAAAATTAGCACAAAGACCGTTGTATTTCCACAATGCTGCTCTTCAGGTCTTGTCATTACTAGCTCTCTGTGACCTGCAGCCAGTGAGGCCTCTCCATTCTAGGGATGAGCCCCACCATAGCACAGCCACCGCCTCCGGGGGCCTGTAAGCTTATTCTCAAGTAGTCCATTCACTGCTGTTTAGAACATAGGAAAGATCCCTCAGGAAAGATCAGAAACGTTGGATTTTTCCCATGCTTCCCATGAGGAAAACTGAGGGGTTAGGAATATATCAGAATATATCCAGCATCACACCTAGGAAATCTAGGACTCACAGACTCAGAACTAGGAAGGCCTTTGGAGAGCACTTAGTGGAAACTGAGGCTCTGATGGTATGAACCCCACCCCAAAGCATTTTGGACCCCCAAGATCTGAGAAAGGCCTAAGACCTGGATTGGCCAATCAGGAGAGACATTTTTGGCCCCCTTTGAGCTTAATCTACCATAATGCTTTTTGTGCTGTGGCATAACAGATGCTCTTTGCTTTGCTGTCTGAATGAACCCAAAATGACCCTTCCCACGTCAGCAACTATAAGGCTGGACGAAGCTGACCAGGAGCATTCTTCTGTTTATGAATGCCAAGGACAAGGTGCCTTGAACTAGACACTATCTTAAATAATGGGATTTTTCTTATGTTACGTTATATCATGTTAATGATAGAAGAAACACAGACATCTTGGATCTATAATTTCAATGACACCTTGACATTCTCTCATCTTATATTTATCACCTATCCTATTAAGAAATTCCTTTCTCACATTATAGTTAAACACATATGGAGACTATAATTTCAGTTGACACAGGCATCCTGAATTGGGACTGTAAGTGTATAAAGGGTCTCCTTCAGCTTGTTTACCTGGGAGTTCAGAATTATTTTCTGACTCCCGGGCATGCACGACTCCCTGGCATGATGAGAATAAATAAATAAGCATGTTATAGCACAGTACAGCCTGTTCTGTTTGTTCCTTGTTCAAACCTTTGGCAAGGTGAGCCCCATTCTGTTTGTTCTGGAACAAACCTTTGGTAAAAGGGGAACCCCATTCTGCTTGTTTCTTTGGACCAAATCTTTGGTAAATGGTTGACAACGATGGTTAATTAGGACTCACTCAAGATGACACTAAGTGTCTCAGTCAATGGAGTGCTTTTGTTTTTTCAGCTGAGTCCATGTGATTTGGGGTTTTCTTGGCAGACATTCCTTCTTCAGCTAATTTTACAGATGAGGAAACTGAGGCAAACAGGGTTAGGTGACTTGCCCAGGGTCACATGGCTATCTTCCTGACTCCAGGCCTAGGATGTATTCACTGCCCAACCAAGTTGCCCATTGAGTGCTTACTGCTCCAAGCATTCATTTGCCCTAGGCCTAGGGATAGAAAGGCAAAAGACAGTCTCTGCCCTCCAAGAGTTTACATTTGAATGGGAAAGATTACAGGCAGAAAGCCTGGTGTCTCAAAGTTAGAACAGAAGGCATTCTGGAGGCCTGCCTGTGTCTGACTGTGCAGCTTGGGGAAGCCCAAAGCATCCCCGGCCTGGCCAAAATAGCTGGATTGTGGAGGATGAGGAAAGAAGGTCGGAAGGGCCCAGCTAGGGATGGCTCTGAATGCCAGAGGAGTGTCTAGTTATCCTGGAGGGACTAGAAGGCCACTGGCACCCACTAGGCAGGAAGAAATAGCATCAGTCCTAGGTTATTAGGTCACTCGAGTGAGAAAGCAGGTAAGGCTGTTGGACCAGCCCTAGGAAAAGGTGAGGAGGGCCAGCCCCAGCATCCTAGAGGGGCGTGCTCCTGTCGAGAAATTGGACCTGTGGGATGAGCGTGAGGTGGGGATGTCCCCCAGAATGACTGGGGACTAGTGGGGACCTCGGCAGCCAAAGGAGCTGAGTTCCCCTGGACCCAGGAAACATCCAGACCAGTGGGCTAGCTTGTGCCACTGACCCCTGGAATTCCATGGGCTCATGTCAAAGTGGCATGGGAAGAAACATTGCCTTACCTAGGGATTTAAACATCAGCTTCTCAGACTGGGGGGATGTGGATACACTAGTTCTTTCTTCAAAGGTCTGGAGGCTTTAGTGGGCTCCAAGTACTAGGTGCGTCAGCCCTCGGACCCACCTGCCCCACTGTGCATTGTCCTCATCAGACCCATCTGGAAAACCCAGTGTAGGAAAGAGATCGAGAAGCCTGAGAATGTGCAGAGGTGGGCAGCCAGTATGGGGAAGGGTCCTGGGCCCCTTTCATGAGGGCTGCTGGAAGGAACTAGGAGTATTGGGTCTGACGAATGAGAGACTTGGGATGGGGCGGGGAAGGGAGGTGGGGCTGTGGCAACTCTCCAGGAATTTGTAGGCCGTCATGAGGAAGAAGGGGCCCCAAAGGGCAGCACTGAGAGCCAGCTATCGGGGGCCTTCTCCAGTGGTGCCAGGCTCCCCCTGCCTGGAGGTCTTTGGGCAAAGGCCAGACAAGTGACCATTTGGCAGGTGAGCTGGCGAGGGAATCCTTTCTCGTGTCTAGGCTGGAATAGACTGCTCCAGAGGCCCCTGGAGTGCAGGGGCAGCCCCAACAAGAATAGAGGGTCTGGCGAAGTTCTAGGCTCCTAACCTATAAAATCAGGATAATAATCCTCAAACCAACCACCTCCTCACAGCTGGGGAGAGAACATGGCCATAATGCAGAGTTGGACTCGTGGAAGGCAGTGCCCCAGGAAGCCTTCCCCCATTTCCACCACACCCCCATCTCCTGCTTAGCCCTGGTTCCCATGCTGGGCTATCCTTTGGGTGGGGAGGGTGCTACCCAGAAGCAGAGAGGCCTTTATGCAAGAGCCCAACTCACCTATTTCTCTTCCAAAAGTGCTTTGACTTCACCATCAGGAAGCCCAGCAGGGAGGAGGCATCCTCAGGATGTCTAGGGATGCCTCTCTCCTTTCAGAACAAGGGACTGGCTGGGGAGCCTTTGGGAGGTTTTAGGGAGAGCTGTGAGGATGTGTGCAGTGGGCAGGCTTGGAGCAGATGCAGACCTTCTATAAATGGTTTAGGTGTGGGGGGTGGGGGTGGGGTGAGGCGGAGGCTCCTTGACCCTGGCTGGGCCTCAAGCAGCCAGTCCTTTCTCAGGATCCCTTCTTTGGGCTAAATTCTTCATGCCTATTGGCATTCTGGTAAAAGAAGAGAGGCAATGTTGTCGGGAGCGGGGAGTCATGGGCCCTCCCTGGCCGAGGCCGACTGGGGCCCTGGGAATACAGGTCTTGACTGCTGGCCTTGGCAGGGGCAGGGGCAGGACAGGATCTGCTGCCAGCTCAGACCCGATGCCCAAAGATGGAGGAAAGGAAACGGCCTCAGGGATGGTTGGCAGCTGAGCCCTGGACTCGCTCAGCGGAGATGCCACGTCTGGATGGGGACTTGTTGGGACCTGGGCCATGCAGAAACTGCCTGCCGTCTGACCCCCCTCCCCAAAGCTTGAGGTGCTTGGACCCCTGCATTTGCTATGTCTTTGGAATAAACAGCCCTTTGTAAAAGCTAATGGATGTTTACTGGCTAAATGGAACTTGGCTACCAGTCACTGGTGGCTGACCATGGCCAGAATGAGGGCTTGAGGCAATGGCATTAGAAAACAATGCCCTCAGCCCCTCAGGGCTACTCCTCGTGCCCTGAGGGGAAGATGGCTCTGGCCTTGCTCAGAGAGAGGAGGCCAGAATGCTCCCTAACCTTGATAGAAATAATGGCCATTCTTATGATGAGAGAGAACTAACCTGGGGCTTTGGGTGGACCAAACCCAGTGGAGAGCTGCACAGGAGAGGCAGGCATGCACACCTGTGTTATGGCTGCTTCCCTGGACCGAGGTCCCCTCGGAGGAGCTCCCAGGTGCATCAGAACAGTGAAGGATGAAAATACAGTGGCATTGTCCAGGGAGCTTCCAGTCACGTCACAGGCCTCAGCTTCTTCATCTGTAAGATGGTGGTTGTAATCCCAGAAGCACTCCCTGCTCCCCACGCTGTCTGATGAAAGGCCACCTGTGTGAACCTTAAGGAAGCATCAGAACTCCTAGGATCCAGGGAGGGCTGGCAGGGAGCACAGACGCCGTCTCTGCAGCCCTAGCCTCCCTGCCCACATTGCACAGGCCTGGAGTCACACACAATGAGTTTGAGTTCCTGGCAGAGCAGGGGCTGCAGCGCACATCCCCAGGCACCCAATCTAGAGATGCAGTAAGAGCCCGGGGACCCATCCAATACCTGGAGAAAAGCTAACTCGGGAATGAGGCCCCCTAGTCTCCCCTTCTCAGTCAGGTATTTTTATGAAAAGGAGAGAAAGTGGTAAGAGGATCTGACCTGGGACCAATCGAGTCACGGCTCTGCCTGTGGCAGGCATGTCTTCCCCCAAATGCCCAGACAAGGCCACTGGCAGTGCCCTGCAGGGTGGACGCTGAAGGCACTCCTGGAATGCTGGCCTCCAGGAGAGAATGGGTCAGGACAGGCTGAGGGCAGGGACAGGTGCCATTCGTTCATCCCCTTCCTGGATCATTGCCTTGGGAAGCATTCAGAAATACTCTCTCTCTGCGTGCAGTCCTAGGAACTGTACAGGGCCCACAGATGCTGAGCCTGCCGCCCAGCAGCTCACCCTGCTGCCTCTTGTGTGATCGTGAGCCTCTACCAAGGTCACCGTGCCGCACTTCTCTCCTCCTCAACCAGCTCAGACGTGGGCAGCAGTGTGAAGCCCCCGATGCCTGAGGAATGCTGACAAGCCCTGGAAGCCTTGCCCACACTCACCACACCCATAGTGTTTGCTTCCAGCATGAATTCTTTGGTGTCGACTGAGAGCGGAGCAGTAGCTAAAAGCTTTCCCACACACAGTACATTCATATGGTTTTTCTCCAGTGTGAATTCTCTGATGTTGAGAAAGGTACTTGCTCTGGCTGAAAGTTTTCCCACACTCACTGCATGCATAGGGTTTCTCTCCAGAATGAATTATCTGGTGTTTATTCAGGTATATGCTCTGAGTGAAGGCCTTCCCACATTCGTGACATTTATAGGGTTTCTCTCCAGTATGGATTCTCTGATGCACAATCAGGACTGAGGAATCACTGAAGGCTTTCCCACATTCGTGACATTCATAGGGTTTTTCTCCTGTATGAATTCTCTGGTGTTTGGTAAGGGAAGAACTCTGGCTAAAGGCTTTCCCGCAATCACTGCATTCATAAGGTTTCTCTCCAGTGTGGATTCTCTGGTGTCGAGTGAGCTGTGCAATCTGGTTGAAGGCTTTTCCACATTCATTACACTCATAGATTTTCTCTCCAGTGTGAATTCTCTGATGTTGAGTGAAGTGAGTCCTCCTTCTAAATGCCTTCCCACATTCACTACACTCATAGGGTTTCTCCCCAGTATGAATTCTCTGGTGTTGAATAAGAGCTGAGCTTTCAGTGAATGTTTTTCCACATTCAACACACTCATAGGGCTTCTCTCCTGTGTGGATTCTTCTATGTTGAATAAGGTGTGTCCTTTGGCTGAAAGCTTTTCCACATTCATTGCATACATAAGGTTTCTCCCCAGTGTGAATTCTCTGGTGTTGAACAAGGGTGGACCGGCAACTGAAACCTCTCCCACATTCTTCACACTCATAGGGTTTTTCTCCAGTGTGGATTCTCTGGTGTTTGGCAAGGGGTGCGCTCTGGCTGAAGGCTTTGCCACATTGGTGGCATTCATAGGGTTTTTCTCCAGTGTGGATTCTCTGGTGTTCAGTAAGATATATGCTCCGGCTGAAAGTCTTCCCACAGTCACTGCATTCATAGGGTTTCTCCTCAGAAGGACTCATATGGTACTGAACACAGGCCGAGTGGTGACTTAGAGATTTTCTGTTTTCCCTTGGGTTTTCTCTCATGTGAACTCTCTGGTGTTGAACCAAGTGTGAGTTTTGCTGGAAAACTTTCCCACATACACTACATGGATAGACTTTCTCCTCAGCATGAGTTTTCTCACATGGAATATGGCTTGTGTTGTCCCCCAAAGGTTTCCCAAATTCATTATTCCACAGGTAGGATTTCTGTTCTGAGATTGTCCTGCTCTGACAGCCAGTAAGGCCCGAGCGGTAAGTGAAGGCTTTCCTTACTTTGCTCCGGGGGAGGCTTTTTCCAGGGGCATCCCACTTAGGAAGGCTTTCCCTCCAACGGAGCATGGTGCCTACGCCATCTCTGTCCTTCACGGGCATGTTCTTAGAGATGATCACTTCAATCATCTGTCTGTCCTGGCTCCCTGGCTTGCTCTCAAAACTGCCCGTGCAGGTCCAGGCTTCTCTCAACATCGTGTCCACTGAGACTTTTTCTGTCCACGCTGGCTGGAATGAGGCTTCTCGAGCAGGGTCCTGCTTTGGCCTTGAAGCCTCTGGCCCAGGCTTCCCATCTGAAAGAAATTTGTGAAACCCTCAAATGGCCCATTTGTTGTCAGAGAAGGAAAACTCCCAAGTGGATAAAATCACCATCAATACCACTGACAGCAGCATGGCTTGTTACAGGGCCCTCCAGTCATCCACACACTGTGGAAAGAGAAGGGTAGGGAGGGAGCAGGTTGGGATCTGGTGTGGGAGGCAGAGCCAGCAGTGGGATGGGGAGGTGGAAGGAAGGGGAGCCCAGAGAGGAGGTGGGGGGGAGTTTGTTGGGAGGGGGAGGAGGAGCAGTAGGGGCAGGGGTGGAAGAGAGGACAGCCCAGGTGGGGGGGGCTGGGAGGGGAGGGGGAACAGCCCAGGTCAGGGGGAGGAGGGGCAGTGGGGGCAGGGCAGCCCAGGTTGGGGGGAGGAGGGGCAGTGGGGGCAGGGGTGGGAGAGAGGACAGCCCAGGTGGGGGGGGGGCTGGGAGGGGGAGCAGCCCAGGTCAGGGGGAGGAGGGGCAGTGGGGGCAGAGGTGTGAGGGAGGGCAGCCCAGACAGGAGGTGGCAGGGCAAGGGCTCAGCCCCACACTCCAGAGCTTTCCTTTGGGCCACTTCTTCCAGGATGCCTCCCTGATTCTCCCAGTTGAAGGTCTAACCTCTCCCATCACCCCTCTGACACACTACCACGTGCAGTTTATTTCAGACGGTATTTTAGCTCAGGCTCAGACAGGCGAGGCCCCACTTTTCACCTTCATGTCCCCAGCACCAGGCACAGGGTCATGTTTGCCAGACTGCAGAGTTTCTGAGCAGGGGAGCTCCTTGGGAGGAAAGCCCAGCTTTGGGATGGTGCACCTGGCAGCGGACCCTGGGTGAGCGGGAGGTGAGTCTAGCTCTAAAAGGCTACAGCAAACACTAGGCCTGCAGTTAGGAAGGCCTTTGAGGACTGGAGAGAAATGGGCTGTTTCCAGGAGACCCCACCAAGGATGACGTGACAGATGTTGGGACACAGGGTGAAGGAGAAGGGTGGCACTGGGGTCTCGGGCTTGGGGAGCCCTCGATGCTCCTGGCAGAGTTGGGCGGCTTGGGGGGGATCTGATGAACAATGAGAGAGTTGGCCAGGGGCAGGAGTGGGGGAGGGGATGGATGCTAGAGGTCAGAGGTCAAGTCTGCAGCTTATCAGCCTAAAAGGAGGGCTTGAGCCCTGAGCAGTGTGAAGGCAGAGAAGAGTGGGCACCAGGGTGGGGAAGGGGGAGGAGAAAGGGGAGAAGGGACACCCAGAGCCTGCAAAGGGACCACGAGGTGCTTCCCTGGCCTGGCCCAAGTTCCCCAAGAGGCCGGGGCGGAGCCAGAGTCTGGCCTGGCTGCACCAGACTGGTGGGGGGCCATCTTGGGGTCCGAGGGAGAGGAGAGACACAATGGCTGGGCAGAAAGGCAGCAGAGCCGACAGGGAACCACCCCAGCAGGGCCATGCCTGGCTCCAGAGTGCCCTCCCCCAGCCCACAGGGTTACTTAGAAACTGAGGTTTGGCCAGAGTGGGCACAGCTCCATGCTCCCCCAGCTGCCTCTCCAAAGCTTTGGGGTGATGGATCCTCAGCCTGAGCTGGAGGGGAGGGACCTCAGACATCCCTGGCCCGCGTTCTCCTCCCAGGGGCCCCATTCGGGTGACCCTCACTCACCAGCTTCCTCCCCAACCCTCAGCATGTCCACTTGTTCCAAATGGCAGAGGGTGTCACAGTCAGGAACTGGAATCCCTGCTTGGGGAGAGAAAAACAGGCCGTGGCGGCTTGCGCCGGGAGGCTGAATCCTCCCTGAGTTCAAGCCCAGCCCAGGGTAGGGGGGACTGGCCACTGCCTCCTCCAGAGGCCCCCTACCATCAGGAAGACCTTCCTCCTGAGGCTCTGCACGGTCCCTGGTGGGAACACTCTGTGGCTGGGTGAGTGAGCCCTCCTAGCCTACAGGGATGATGGGAGGGGGGACAGCAGCCATGTTTTCTACCCCAAAGCTCAGGCTCCCTGGCCCCTGAGCTCCATCCCTCAATGCCCTGCTGCATCGGAGGTCTCTGCAGTGACTGTTGCTATCAAGATGATTCATGGGGGCGCCTTACCCAGGGAGACCAGGTTCCGGTAGGTCTCTAGCATCACATCCTGGTACAGCTGCCTCTGGGAGGGGCCCAGCCGCCCCCACTCCTCAGGGGTGAAGTCCACGACCACGTCCCTGAAGGTCACAGGCTCCTGAAACAGAGCACACACCTGCTGGTGGGGAGGGTAGGGAGCCAGGAAGGGCCCTTGGAAGCAAACCCCCAAGCAGCTTTGGCCATGACTTCAGGGCGGGGCCAGGGCTATCGGCAGCCCCAAAACCACCAACCCCACTTTAAGTGAAGTCGAGCAAGTAGAGAGTCATGCCCTCGGGCACCAAGGGTCCAGGCTTCACTGCCGCCTTCCCTCTGGCTCCCTAAGCCCCAGATCTAGGCCCGCTCCCTCTGGCCCGAGGACTAAGAATCTGGATGACTAAGCCTTGGGTGCAAAGCTGGAGGCCCCAGGTTCGATGCCACTCTGGGCCCGCCATCAGGAAGACACGGTGATGCTGGGTAGCTCACTTCACTTCTGCCTGCCTTGGTCATCTCCACTGTAAAGCGGAGATCACAAGAGCGTCCACCTACCAGTGGGATAATAAAGGCCCAGTGCTTTGCAAACACCAAAGCCTCCTGGGTACATCTCCCACTTGGGGGGTGGGGTGGTGGCTGCCTCCTCCCAAACACCCCGGCCTCAGTTTCCCTGCTGTGGGAGCATACGAAGTGACTAGCAGCACATTCAGGGATCCTCACAGACCCCTCTTCACACCGTGTTTGGCAGAGGGCACAGAGACAAAATCCAAACAGTCCCTGCCTTCAGGAAGCTTCTCTTCTACTGGGGGTGGGAAGAGGGCCACAGAAAAGCAAATACAAGAGATACAAAGTAAGAGGAGTGGAGGGTGGCGCTAACCACTGGGGGTACCACAGAGGGCTGGACTGCACAGTCACTTGGGGGTCTGGAAAGGCAAGAGGAGCCTGGCTTGAAGGAGGAGTGTCCAGAGGGGAGCTAATTCTGGGGGTCACCTCCACTGTAAAATGGGAGGGCAGTGGCTGTGAAGGAATCCATGACCCTAACCTCAAACAGCAGGATGAACCAGTTTGGGGGGGGGGGGAGAGATTCAGTGACCTTGCTCTATAGCCCAACCTTCCCCACATGGAGGCCCCTTGGGGAGCCACCGGGCCAGGGGGGGGCCTGGGTCCCGGCAGAGAGCCTGGGAGGGCCTTGCCCAAGGCCACCCCACCAAAGTTGGTGATCTAGCTCTACTGCACAGCCCCACCCCACCTCCAAGGGGAGGCTGACCTACCTCTGGGTGGTGGCTCAGGCAATAGGGGGGAGATGAGAGGCAGGGGCAGAAGGGAGGAGTCTGGGGAAGGGGATGGGGGAACAACAGAGAAGCTCTGGGTACAGAGGCCCACACACCTGCCCCCTGAGAAAGAGCCTGGGCAATCTGGAAGCCAAAAGGAAACCCAGACTCACCTGGCACCCCGAGGCCATCCCTCTGGCACTAAGCTCCCTTCTGAGCCAGGGCCTGAGCTGGAAAAGCAGAGAGAGAGTGCCAGTCTGCCCTGCCCCACCCCCATCCCCAAGGGGGGTGGGAGAGACACCTCCCTAGCCATCAGAGCCCAGCCTCCCTCCTCTTCCTCCCCCTGCCCCACCCCCATCCCCAGAGGGAGGGGAAGATACCTCCCCTAGACATCCCTCCTCTTCCTCTCTGTCTCCTCTCCTTCCCCTATCCCCCTAACTTGAGGCATCTCTGAGAAAGGGGTTCCCTTTTTGACAATAACTGCTGGGAAAACCAGGCAGAAATTAATTGGAGAAGCATTTCCCACCACATTGGGTACCCTGAACACTGCGCCCACATCCTGGAAAATGAGGAGTGTAATCAGGAGGGTTCTTAGGCAAACGACTGCACAAAGGGAGTCGATGAAGATAGAGTCAGAAGAAGGGACAACAGCATCCCCCCCCCCCAAGCTCTCTGCTTAGTGTCTGGCACAGGAGACAGGGTGAGGCAGAAGCTGCAGGGGAAGGGCGAGCCCACACCCGAGGCCTCGGCTGCCTCCAGCACCCAACTCTGGGCCTTCTCTCTCCCTCCTCACTGGCTCTGCAGCTGTCCACGAGCACACACGAGGCTTCCCTTGATTTCAGGCACCCCCCATCCTGATTACCTCCCTAGTCCTTCCCAAGTAAGGGCAAACTCCTTTACTCAGCATTGCAGGTCTTTCCAGCCCGATCTCATCATCTCCATTTACCACCTCTGCTCAGGCTGTTCCATGGGCTGGAATGCTCTCTTTGGCCCCGAGCGCCCAATCTCAATGGGCTCCCCTCCAGGAAACATCTCCAAGCATCTTCCACCCCTGGAGCTTGAGATGCCAAGATGACTCAAGGACCTTTAAGCACTGTCAGCTACGAGCTCAGGACTCCGGGATCTGTGAAAGACTCTCACTTCGAGTCTAGGATCTCTAAGCTTGAGCCCAAGGAGCACCTGGTGGTGTAGTAGATATACCCCAGGCCTGGAGTCCGGAAGACCTGAGTTCAAATGCAGCCCCAGATACTTCCTATCTGTGTGACCCTAGGGAAGTCACATCACCGCTGCCTGCCTCAGTTTCCTCATCTGTAAAATGGGGATTGCAACAGCCCTGCCTCTTGGACTGCCGGGTAAAATAAAACAACACGATGCTTGCAAAGCACTAGGTGATTCTCAGCTATTATCATCGTTATTAATTACACTTGAAGGATCTCTAAGCACTTTGCAGCTCCAGAGCCTAAGACATCATGGCCTCAGGATCTCTAAGCACCTCTAGGGCTACAATTCAGGTGTCAAAGCCTGGAGCTTTATAAGCATCGTGCAGCTCTGAAGCTTATGACCCACCCCTCCTCCCCCGCCCAGCAGGGGCCGCTGTGGAGCCAGACTCACCCCCCGCGTGCGCGGAGCCAGACAAAGCGAGATAAGCACTCGGCCCTCGCGCCAGACTGCGCCTGCGCAAGGTCCATGGGGGGGGGGGGGAATAGGACTACGAGTACCACAATGCACCGGAATGACGCCTGCGTATCGAAAACAACAGTCTACAATTCCCACAGCGCCTCCGTAAATGGCGTTAATTCCACTTGCAGCTGCAGAGGCCCAGGTCGCTGTAGGGAGGGCCTTGCCCAAAGTGGGGGTCAGGATCCGAGTCGAGCCTAGGGCGCTGCGTTCCGTGCTCCCAGTCCGAGAGGGGCGGCAGGTGGGTCTTGGGCGGACTGGAATCGCTTCGCAGGCCTCGGCCCCGACCCAGCCTCGACTCCTTCGGAGTCCGCGGGAGCCGAGCCCCTCCCGCTAGGGCCGCTGGGAAATTGAGTCCCGACGAGCGGCTGCCGCCTTGGACTCGTGAGTGCGCACGCGCATCCGCAGGTGAGTTGAAGACGTGCCCCAAAGGCTGCCTGGGCGCAGGCGCAGCCCCCGGGGTTGTCCACCTCCGCGCGCTCGCGTCGGTGGGAGGGGTAGGGAGAGGGAGGTGTTTAGTCAGGCCCTGAGCAGGGCTGGGGCGGGGACTAAGACGGGGACGGGGAAGGGGAGGGGGTGGGGAAGGGGATGGGGAAGGGTTCCTCTAGGGCCGGGAGTGAAGGCGGGAAGAGGAGAGCCCTGAGTCTTTTTGGCTACGGGCCCCTCAGGCTCGCGGTTTCCATGGTAACAGCGGGGGCGGGGCATGCGTGGGGGCGGGGCCTCCAGTTCTTACAGCGGGGATTTGCCTTTTGAAGCGGGGCATCCTTAGAGATCCTAGAGAAGCTGCCTCCCCAGGGGCCAGGGGTCGGCTCCGCTCCCAGGAGTGGAAGGGGGGGCGGGGCGGGGTGTTAAGCAGGCCCTTTGGTTTGGCTTCATCCTCTCCACGTACAGGGGAGGAAACTGAGGCAGGCTGCGGACTCAGGCCCCCCCGTCCCTGGCCAGGATCTGGACTCCTGTGCAGAGGGCCCTCCAGAGCCCCCTCCCCCCCAGCATACAGTAGGCGCATAACATAGGCCCTTGTCTGGGGAATGAGCCGGGGTGCCCGGACGGGGAAGGCTCCTGGAGGGGGGACCCAGCCGGCAGCCATGGGGTGGGGGGCTTCATCTCTAAGCACCCCCGAGGGGCGAGGGGAGCAGGGGGCTCCGGTCCCCCGTGACCCTCGGGCCGAGGTGGGGGAGCCTGGCCCTGGGCTGGGACGCCGGGATAGGATGGACACCGCCCCCCACCCTCCATCGGGGCTTCAAAGCCCAGGGTCTGTCCTGGACCCCCTCCCACCTGTGTGTTCACACTTTCCCCTCGGCTGGCAGCCAGCCCTCCCCTGCTAGGACCCCCCCCCCCAGCCCAGGTGTCGGTGCTGAGGCTGCAGGCCAGGTTGTCACACCCCCTCCGGGCTGGCCCTACCCTCAGGCATAGGCCCCACTTTCCCCACAGCCACCCTCCACACGCACACATAGTGAGCTCTGGGGGCTCCCTGTCCCCCTCCTACCTGTCCAGGCTCCTTATACCTCCATCCTGTGTGCCTGCTAAGGCTGGACCCTTTCTCCTGCCCTGGCTGTCTTCCTCTGCCATCCAGCTTCTTTCAGATAAGACGTTGGTAAAGGACTTAGCACACAATAGGGGCTTAATCAATGCTTCTCAGCTTCTAAAAGTCTTTGTGTCAAAAGCTGGAAGTCCCACAGAGTCGGAGTCCCCTTGTGGGGGACATTGGAGGTGGGGCACTTTGGGTGTTGCAGAAGCAGCATTTTTAAAGTCCCTTAAAGGGAACCTAAAACACATAAACAGATGGAGCAGTTTCCTACAAGTTGAGAGTCAGTCAAAAAGTATTTATTTAGTGAGCACCTACTATGTGCCAGGTAAGCCCTGGGTATGCCTGCCATGTGTGGGAGTGGGGAATACAACAAATGCACACAACTATGGAATAAGGCTGTAAAGGAGGAGCACCAGAATGGGCCTTGGCTCAGGAGGAAGGCCCAGGGGCCTCTAAGGGACAGATGCCATAGGGAGCCACTGGAGTGGATTGAGTAGGGGGTGACATGGCGGACCCTTCAGAGGGTCCAGGCAGCCTGGGCTAGGTGGATGATGAGAGGAAGATGAAGCCCTGGGGCAGTTGGCCTCCTCCCTCTCCCTACCCCTTTGCTCTCCTGTGACCAGACCCCAGAGCATCTGACCACAGGCTCCTTGGAGCTGGCTCTCAGCAGAAGCCATCAGTGGAAGCCCTGACTGAGCCAGGCGGCTGTTGGGTACCAGGGGATAATACAAGTACCAAGAATGGAGCAATCCCTGCTCACTTGGAGCTCCTGCTCTGATGAGGGCACAGGAGGGGTGAATGGTTACATAGGAAAAGGATCCATAGGAGGTGGCCAGAGGGTGGTAAGGGCTGGCCCTGCAGGCTCAGGAGAGACTTCACGCAGAAGGTGGGCCTGGAGCTGGGTCTTGGGAGAAGACAAGGGTGCTGGGAGCTGGAGGTGGGACAGACCGCTGAGGGCAAAGGCCTGCAGACCGGACGTGAACTGTCTTAGGGAAGAAACGGAGTAGGCCATTTTGACTGGGTTGCTGAGACTCCCAGGGAGTGGTACTTGGTGAGGCTGAAAAGGACTGATTAAGTTGGGGCTTAGAGCTGTGGCCAAATCTTTATTTAGGAAAATCCCTTTGGTAACAACACAAAGCTATAACTGACCTGAGACTTGCAGAGAGGCACCCTGGGTCTAAGGAGGTATAGAGAGGAGGAAGCTGCAGGAGAGGTGTGCATGTCAGGGAACCTGTGGAGCTGCTAGGGTCATGAGCCTGGGAAGCCGAAAGGGTGACGGAGCCCTTGACAGAAATAGGGAAGTTTGAAAGGGGCAAGGGGATGTCCCCAGGATATCCGGCTTGGAATGTCCAGTGAGCACTTGGTGATGTGGGATGGAAGGTCAGGGAAGAAACTGAGGCTAGATAGATAGACCATCTGCATAGGGATGTCCTCTACATAGGGATGATTATGGTTCAACCCATTGGATCTTGAGGAACACCCACAGCTGGGGCGGACCTTGGGGATACTGAGGGAGAAGGATCAGTCCCTACTTCAAGGCAATGACGTTCAGTCGGACATTTATAGAGATAGGGTTTTTTTGTTTCTTTCAGACTGGGCAACCAACAAGTCAGCTGGAAAGCAGGGCATTGCTGAAGAAAGATCGTCTCAGACAGAAATAATGGAAAGACTCCCAAGGGATGTTTCCTTGGATTCCAAAGTAGGAGAAACCAAGAGGGAAAAGAGAGGAAAACAAGAGAGCCATTTAAGCTCCCCTGAAGCCACAGCTGAGAACAGTGGCCGCAGACACCATGACAGCAAGAACTCCTTAAGTACAAAGACGGTCTTGGTTCCAAGAGTCAGAAGACCTATGGAGCGGAGGCCCCCGAAGCTTGATCCACGTGGGAAGAGTTTAAAACAGAATTCCAACCCAATCAAAGCAGAGAGAATTTGTGAAGAGAACAAGCCTTGGAAATGTCATGAATGTGGGAAAGCCTTCAGCTACTGCTCAGCCTTCATTCTGCACCAGAGGGTTCATACTGGGGAGAAGCCTTATGCATGTAAAGAATGTGGCAAGGCCTTTAGCCAGAGCGTACACCTCACGCTGCACGAGAGAATTCACACTGGGGAGAAGCCCTACGAATGTAATAAGTGTGGGAAAGCCTTCAGCCAGGGCTCCTATCTTATTTCACATTGGAAAACACACACTGGAGAGAAACCCTATAAATGTAATGAATGTGGGAAAGCCTTCACGAGAATTTCACACCTTACACAGCATCAAAGGACCCACACTGGGGAGAAGCCGTACAAATGCAATGAATGTGGGAAATCCTTTAGGAATCGTTCATCCCTAATAGAACATCAGAGAATTCACACTGGAGAGAAACCCTATGAGTGTACTGAATGTGAGAAGTCATTTCGTTTTTCTTCAGCACTAATTAGACACCAGCGAATTCATACAGAAGAGAAACCCTACAAATGTAGTGAATGTGGGAAAGCCTTTACCCAGATTTCACACCTTACTCAACACCAAAGAATTCATACAGGAGAGAAACCCTATAAATGTAATGAGTGTGGCACAACCTTCAGTCAAAGTTCATCCCTTATTGAACATCAGAGAATTCATACAGGAGAGAAACCCTATAAATGCAATGAGTGTGGAAAAGCTTTCACTCAGATTTCACACCTTATTCAGCACCAAAGGATTCATACTGGGGAGAAACCTTACAAATGTGATGAATGTGGGAAAGCCTTCAGTAATCGTTCACACCTTATTCAACATCATTTAATTCATACTGGAGAAAAACCTTATAAATGTGTTGAGTGTGGGACAACTTTCAGTCATGGCTCATCTCTTATTGAACATCAGAAAATTCATACTGGAGAAAAACCCTATAAATGTAATGAGTGTGGGAAAGCCTTCAGCCAGGGCTCATCCCTGACTCTACATCAGAGAACTCACACTGGGGAGAAACCATATAAATGTAGTGAGTGTGGGAAGTCATTTAGCAACCGTTCATATCTTATTCAACATCATATAATTCATACCGGAGAAAAACCCTATGAATGTAATGAGTGTGGGAAGGCCTTCAGTTTCTCCTCAGCACTTATTCGACACCAGAGAACACACACTGAAGAGAAACTCTATAAATGTAGTGAATGTGGGAAAGCCTACAGTCAGATTTTACATCTTACTCAACATCAGAGTGTTCACAGTGAGGAAAAATCACGTTCCCTTAATGACTGTGGCAGAAGCTTCAGCCACAGTTTAATACCTGTTGAACCTCAGTCAGTTCTAAGTGGAGAGAAAATATCAATGTGATTCATTCATCTAGCAGACATTTATTAAGTGCCAGACACCTTGGTAGGCACTAAATAAGGTTAAGAAAAAACTGCTTTGTCTCTGTTGAGTGCATATTTGTCTGACTCGCCTTGACTTAGGGCAGTATTGAATTTACTCTGGGACATGACACAAAGTAAATGAGCTCACGAGTGCAGACCCACTGGAGGTGGTGTTGGTCCACAGGCATCTTAGAAACTCTTCTGGGAGGAGATAGCTACAGATAATCGATCAAATTCTATAATTGGTAGAATTACATTTCCTTAGAAGGCTTCAAGAGAAAACAGGAAAGGCAAAGAAACCTGAGCTGAACTGGGCTGATTGGAAAGTTCCAGTGTGGACTGAGGAAGGGGCCCTGGAGGGTGCTGAGTTGGGCCCTCTGGTGGTCCAATTTATTTAAGGGGGACTTTTTTTTCCACATGAACAACTACATTTCTTTATTAAAACACTGGTAAGACATGGAAGGTAGAGTAATCAAATTTACAGTTGACACAAAGGGGGAAGGAGAGCTAATCCTGTAGGTCTCAAAATCAAGCATCGGATGATGGTTTGGTGCATTGGAAAGTGTTGGGTTTGGGCTAAAATCTTAGCTGGGCCATTAGATGTGTGGCCACTTTGAGCCTCAGTGTCTTCCTCTGTAAAATGGCGATAACACCTGCCCCGCCTACCTCACAGGGCTGTGTTGAGGAAATGTTCTACAAACGGTAAAATGCAAGATAACTAGAAACATAAGGATGAGTGTCCTTATGTTGAGAGCCTGAAAGGTTCCACCAAAACAAGGGGGGAGGGGGGTCCCCTGTACATGCCAGGTTCAGAATGGGGCAGCCACAGGCGGGCAGAGCAGCTTCAAAATAGAGGTGGAGGCCCCAGTGATGAAGCTGGGAGGGACAGCTAGAGCTCCCCTCAGCCCTCAGGTCCTGGCTGAGCCCTGCCCTGGGAGGAATGATTCCAGGAGCCAGGCATATCATTTGGCCTGAAGAAAAGAGGGAGGGACATCCAATCCCTGAAGGACTGTGGTCCTCGGCTGTCAGCCCAGGGGCCCAGGGCTAATCCACAGGCCCTGCCTTCCCAGGCTTTTCTGTCTCTGGAGGGTTGCTGGAGAAAACAGGAAAGATAAAGTAGTCTGGACCCAAAGCCTTCATTTTTAATCTTTGTCAGGTCTTCCCCAAAACCTTGTTAACAGATCAGAGTTCTTGGCTCTCAAATCCACGTCAACGTCAAGGCCGTGTGATGTTGGTGCCCTGGTTCTGCTCGCCCTCTGCAGCTCCCTGGTGTCCTCTCTGCCACTTGCCGAGTGCCCCAGGAAGAGTGTTAAAGACAGCAAAGGTGCTTGTTCTTCCTCAGGCCAGAAAGGGCTATGTGGGGAGGATGGGTGCTGCCAGCCATATTTAGGGAGGAGGCCTGGTGGGGGGGAAGACTTGACCTTAGAGTCTGGCCACCTCAGTGGGTTCACCTCACCCAACGAGCCAGGATCTCAGTTGAGTCAGCCCCTCAATTTCAGACCACTTAACATTGTTGATGAAATACAAAAGGCTTAGACCACAGTGAAATCTCAGGGTTTGCTTCTGTGATCTTCTGAGCTTCACACAAGAAACCCTATAAATACAGTAGACCAGCCCTTCGGGGTAGTGGGGCGAGGCAGGGAAGGGAGAAGGAATTATCCCAACTTGGGGTGTATTGCTTCTTGGTGTCCCTCCTTGTGAGAGATGCCTTGCCCCTCAAATCAGGCCAAGGGAATGCTGCTCTGATTCCTGGGACTGTTCTCTCGAGGAGCTGGGACCACGGAGAGAGACTCTCCCTACCACGGGCTGGCAAAGGGGGCTTTCTGGCTGTGGCCCTTGTGCTGGACTGAAGCCTCTGGGCCCCACTTCAGCAGTTCCAAGGTTCTCCCTGCTCGAACCCTGCCTCCCATGACAGGCAGCAAGTACCCCACCCACTAGTGTCTTTAAAATTCTCCCAAGTTCAGGAAGGTCATAGCTGGAAAGGACAAGTCCAAGCTTAGGATTCTTCAGATGAAGAAACAGGCCCAGATTGGGGGAGGAGCTTAAGTAAGATGGGAGGATGCAGGACTTGAGGCCAGGTCCTCTAAGTCCAGGGCTGACCCATGACCATGTGCCCTCTGATCACAGGTATGTACACACAAATACGCAAACACACACTCCTAGCCAGGGAGCCCCACTGAGGTCATTTCTGTGCAAATGGCAAGCCCAGAGAGATGAGGGGAAGAAAAGGCCTTGGCCAAGGCCTTCTCAGTGTGCATTGGAAAGTGCTGGGTTTGGGCTCAGGAGTGGAGATTGTCCTGGTACATCGTACAGGGCGGGACTGTCTGGCTTGGGAGTAGGGCGGTGGTATGTTTGCCTTCACTGCTCGCTTGGGAGTTTCCCCATTTCTCCCTCCTTGGTGCTGGGCTGGGCCTTGGCTGTACAACTGCAGGTGGGGTAGAAAGAGCCCTGTCCTTCACTTAGCAGGCTAAGCTTGGGATCTGGATGAGCATGACTTCCCTTGGACTTTAAGTGGGAGCTACTTGAGGTCAGGCCTTCCTTTGTGTCCCCAGTGCTTAGCACAGTGCTCATCATATAGTAGTCACTTTATGCCTGCTTGTTAATTGGTAGCAATTAAGACCCTTTATAATGATCTTGCCCCGTGTATTTGTCTGCAGACCCATTTCTTGAATACAGAACACCAAACAAAAGCCCCAGAGGCAAATGTTAACAGAGGTTCCTGCCCCTGTGTCTTGTGGTAGAGACTGGAGATGGGCCCTGGAGAGGGAAGAGTTAAATCAGTAATTCAGGCCTGAGTCTCTGGGTACCAAGTCAGCTGTGGAATCAGACTTTCCCCACCCTTTCTTGCCCATCTTTTTAAGGAAGGGGAAACTGAGGAAGCTCAGCTTGCTGAAGGTTGCTGAGTGAAAAATGGGCAGAGCCAGAATTTGAACCCTGAAGGACTGTCCAGTGGGTGAAATCATGCTGCAGAGGCTTTGAACAACAGGGTCTGAGACCCGTGGGGAAAAGCCCTGGCTCTAGTCATTGTGTAGGTGAAGGCCTGTCGGGGTGGAATAGTGCCTGGTTTTGCTGAATTGCCTCTGTCCTCTGCTTTTATTCTTTGTTACAAGGAAGGGTTGACCCACTGGGTAGCATGGGGGAAGCAATAGAATCAGAAATCACAATCACAGTATGGGAAGGCTGGAAGGCCCAGTAGCCATCCAATCCAACCAGGCACAGAAAGTGACCAATCAAACCTTTGTGAGAAGAAATCAGCCTCAGCTTGGTGTCAGCTCACCACCTGCCCAAGTAGCCCAACTCACTTAGGGACAGTTCTCACAGAGTGTTTTCTCATCTTTTCCCCTAAGCCCACACCTTTCCCTGTCACTGTGGAAGGCAACACTATCCTCCTAGTCCTTCAGGCTCCCAACCTAGAAATTATCTTGGGCTCCTCTCTCTTTCTCGCTCTACATATCCAATATGGTGCCAAGGCCTGTTTTCACCTCTGCAGCATCTCTGGTCCATTTCACCTCTGCTGTACCTCTGGTCCGTTTCAACTCTGCAGCATCTCTGGTCCATTTCACCTCTGCAGCGTCTCTTTTCTGTTTCATTTCTGCTGCATCTCTGGTCCATTTCACCTCTGCAGCATCTCTGGTCCGTTTCAACTCTGCAGCATCTCTGGTCTGTTTCACCTCTGTAACACCTCTGGTCTGTTTCACCTCTGTAGCACCTCTGGTCCGTTTCACCTCTGTAGCACCTCTGGTCTGTTTCACCTCTGCAGCATCTCTTGAATAAGCTCCCTTCTCAGTGATGCTGCTCCAACCCTGGTACAGACTCTCATCAGCTCACACCTGGACTGTTGCAATAGCTGTTGTGGGGAGGGGGTCTACTTGCCTCAGGTCTCTCCTCACTATAGTACATCCATCACAGGACCCTGGAAGGCAGGGGCCCTAACAGTAGGTTTTTCTTCATCTTATGGTAGTCAAACTTCCAGCTTTTCCCCTTCTTCCTTTCTACTTGAAATTTAGCCCCTGCCTCCTAGATCTCACCTGGCTTCTTTGGAAGCAGGAGACACTGCCTCAGAGGGGAGGAGGAGAACTCCTTGTTCCTCCCAGTAACTTCCAGATTCTCCTTTAGTATTCATTCAATCCATCTTCAGATCATTCAGTTCCCAAGTTCAGAGCCTTTGTCCAATCATCCACCTGAAGTCTGGGTCCTTCCTTCTCAGAGACTGGCCCACAGCCTTCCTCTCTGCCCCAACCCTTTCCTCCTACTCGGAGAAATCAAGACATGCATTCATCTCTTCTCAAACACCAACCGTTTGAGAGCCTCTTCCACTCTCATGATCAGCTTCTTCCTTCATCTTCAATCTCCTCATCCCAGGAAGTACTCCTTTCCTTTATGTGATTATAGCTTCCGATCCTCCCATCTCTGGCCCTGCCTCACTCCTTCTCACCCCCATGTTGTCCTTACCTTCCTCCCTTCACAGTCCAAACCAACCACATATTACCTGTGTTTATTGCCCATGCCTCACTAGACCCCAGCCATGGGCCACCCCCACCGTCAGCCTTCTCCACACCTACTGCATGCTGCTGGACCCTGATGGAGAGTGGCCCACTGCAGAGTTACATTAGCTAATCTCAACTAGTCAGAAGTCCTTCTCATCTTGCCTTTCTGCCACAGTTCCTGGAGTGGCTATTTCAAATGTTCCCTCTCTCAGGGCACCTCCACCATTCCCTGCTCCTCTCCCAAGAGAATCTTAACTGCTACTTTGCTAAGGGAAGAGAGGCCATCCACCACGAGCTCCCTGTTCTCCTCTCACTGAGGGGTGCCTAAAACCCCTCCATACTCCCCTCTTCTCTGTCCAGTCCCTGATGAGGAGATGGCCTCTCTTCTTGCCAAGTACAACCCCTCTGCAGGTACTCAGTCTTCTCCCTTTTGTCTCCTCTGGGGGCTTGCTCCCTCCATCATTCCCCCCTTTCTCTCTTATCCTTTGTTGCTTTCTGAGCCGCCCCCAAGTACGCCCAGGCCTTCCCCACCCTCAGTGTGGCCCTACCAGCTCCTCTAACCTAATTCGCCCTCTCCCTTTCCCAGTAGAAAGAGCCATTGATGCCTATTGTCTCATGTTTCCCTCCTCATTCCCTTTTTCTCCTTTTGAATTCACCTTCCAATTCTTCCAACTTGACTGAAACTGCTCTCTCATGTCACCAGTGATTTCTTTATTGCTGATCCAAGGGTCTTTTCCTGCTTCTCATTCTGCTTAAACTCTCTCATTAAAAAAAAAAAAAGCCACCCATCGATTAGTAGTTAACCAGCGCTTCGCACACACCTGGCACATAGCAGGTGCTGAATAATGTTTGCTGACAGACTGATTTTCCCCTCCCTCCAATACTTCCTTTCTAGGACATACCTCTTTCCCGGCTCTCCCCTGTGACCACTCCTCAGTATACTTTCAGAAACCATTTTTCATGTCTGGGTCTCCCAAGGCCCTCTCTTGGGCCTTCTTTCTATACATCCTCTGACTTGGTGCCTTTATGAGCCCACGTTTAGTGATCATTTCTGTACAGATGACTCCCAGGTCTGTGTGTCTTTCTTGAGGTCCAGGCATGCAACGCCAACAGCCTGCTAGACATCTTCAGCTGAGTGTCCCAAGTGAAATTTTAAATTCCTCCAGTCCAGAATAGGGCTTGTTGTCTACCCACCCCTCCTCCCAACTTCCCCATTTCTTTGGGAGCACCACTACCTTTTGGTTACCCAGTGCCATAATCCCTGAGTGATAGGTGATGGGTGGAGCTGGGGCTTACCACCTTTCAACACCATTGGAAGGGGGATGAAAGGAGAAAGAGATGAGATTATCCACAAATATTAAATCATTATCTAGATATGTTTTGCAATGTGCTGTCCAGGTATAAAGGGGTAGTTTGGCACTCAAATCCATGTACCTTTTAGCCATGTAGGATCAACACATCAATACTTAGATAAATCCTCATTTACTCTGGGTCACTTTTCTACCTCAAAGGCCATGGGGTGCAGGTGGGGGGAGGAATGTGTGTATATTTGGGGGGGGATAGAGGCAGGAATATGCTAACACAAGTCACAGAAAGATTGCTGAGGTTTTGTTTTGGCTAGGCAATGGGGTTAAGTGAGTTGCCCAGGGTCACACAGCTAGTAAGTGTTATGTGTCTGAGGTCACATTTGAACTCAGATCCTCCTGAATCTAGGGCTGGTGCTCTATACACTGTGCTACCTAGCTGCCCCGATTGCTGAGGTTTTGAAACCAAAACTGGGTCGGACTGGTTGATCTCACAGGTTCCTTTCCAGCTTCTGAATTTCAGGATGAACTTAAGGTTTGTTTTTGTTCTTGGTTTGTTCTTATTTGGGTAAATCCAAGCACAGGATTAGAGAGTGAATTGTGATAAGGACAAAATCCAATGATGAAAAAATGTCACTGGTGCATTTCTCTTACTTGCTAGAAAAAGCAAACTTTATTTCACTGTTCTGTTCATTACTAAAGTTTCACTTTAATGAAAAATTTAATAAACAATTTTTGGAAAAGGTCAGTATTTGGCAGCTGCTCCTTCATATTGCAGACCCACCACCTCACCCCTCATCCTCAGACTCGAGCAAGTCTATCCCCATCTGAAGGTCCCTGGGTGTATTCAATCCAGAAGCTGCCTTGTCTGGACTTTTCCATCACACTCCAGAAAGGTCTGAAAGGTCACTTCAGTCCTGGAACTCACACATGCATACTTTGTCAGTACCCTCCACCTGGGGGGGGTGGGGGAGGCAGAGAGGAGGGACCTCTTCCCAGAACCTCCATTTGATGAAGGGGCCTAGGCCAGCTATCTCTTAATTTCCCATCCTGGGAAAGTCCTCTGGACTTTCAGGCACCTCCATCCCAGCCTCCCCTCTTCAAATTGTTTTTGTATGTAGGCTCCTTGAGGGCAGGAACTCTCTTTTGCCCTTCGCAAACATAGTAGGTGCTTAATAAGTATTTATGCACTGTTTAATGACAGGAAAACAGAGAAAAGAGCTCTAGTCCTCAACGTCCCATGGAGTAATGTACCATGACTCCGAGTTACAATGTGACAAGTCTGATGGATGCTTTCTTCCACTTTCACTGCATTCTCAAGGGTTCTCTCCTATATGAATTCTCTGATGTCTTGCTAGAGATGAACCATTGGTGAAGGCTTTCCCACATTTGGTACATGTATAGGGTTTCTCTCCACTGTGAACTCTCTGGTGTTGTATAAGGCGTGAACTTTGTCTAAAGGCCTTTCCGCATTCATTACATTTATAGGAATTCTCTCCCGTATGAATTTTCTTATGCTGATTAAGAGAGGAGCCATTGGTGAAGGCTTTGCCACATTCCTCACATTTGTATGGTTTCTCTCCAGTATGAATTCTTTGATGTATATTGAGTCCAGAAAATCGAGTAAAGGCCTTCCCACACTCGCTACAGTGATAAGATTTTTCTCTATTGTGAATTCTCTGGTGTTGACCAAGGGATGAGCTGTGGCTGAAGGCTTTGCCGCATTCATCACATTTATAGGGTTTTTCTCCAGTATGAGTCCTCTGATGTACAATAAGAGTGGAGCTATCAAAAAAGGCTCTCTCACATTCATTACACTTATAGGGTTTCTTTCCAGTGTGACATTTCTTATGCTTAATCAGGGATGTGCTGATGTTGAAGGCCTTCCCACATTCATGGCATTTATAGGGTTTCTCTCCAGTATGAACTCTCTGGTGTTCAGTAAGTTGTGAAACCCAGATAAAGCCTTTCGCACATTCATCACATTTAAAGGGTAACTCCCGCTGTGGTGAAGTCTCTGATGTTTAGGAAGGGAGGACTTCCGGCTGAAAGCCTTTTCACATTCATGACACTTATAGGGTTTCTCTCCAGTATGAGTCCTCTCATGCTTAGTAAGAGAGGAGCTATTGTTGAAGGCTTTTCCACATTCATCACATTTATAGGACTTCTCTGTAAAATGACTTTTCTGATGCAACAAAAGGTAAGAGCCCAGACTGAAAGTTTTTCCACATTCATTACACTCATAAGGTTTTTCTCTAGTATGAGTTCTTTGATGAAGTGAAAGAGATGAGCTGAGTCGGAAGGATTTCCAACATTCTTTACATTCATAGGGTTTTTCTCCAGTGTGAACTACATGATGCCGAATAAGGTATGATCGATGACTGAAAACTTTACCACATTTATTACATTTATAGGGCTTCTCCCCACTGTGAGTTCTCTGATGTAAAGAAAGAGTTGAGCCCTGACTGAAGGCTTTCCCACATTCATTACATTTATAGGGTTTCTTTCCAGTATGAATCCTCTGATGTACCGTAAGGGATTTGCTATGGCCAAACATTTTCCCACATTCGTTACATTTGTAGGGTTTCTCCCCAGTATGAATTCGCTGATGCCCAGTAAGTTGTGATATATAGAAAAAGGCTTTTCCACAATCATTACATTTATAGGGTTTCTCTCCAGTATGAATTCTCTGATGTCTATTAAGGCAAGAAATCCGGGCAAAGGCTTTCCCACAGTCATTACATTTATAGGGTTTCTCTCCAGTATGAATTCTCTGATGCTCAGTAAAGTGTGAAACCCGGGCGAAGGTTTTTCCACAAGTGTTACATTTATGACACTTCTTCCCTGAATAGATTTTCAGGTGGTTAAGCAGGTCTGAATTTTGTTTGTATCTCTTTCCATGTTTGTGCCATATTTGAGAAGTCTTTCCACTAAGAATGTTTTGCTGCATATGGAGAGATGACCTGAAACTGAGGCTTCCTCCTGAATCTTTAATTTCTTGGTCTCTCCCCTCAATGACAATTTCCTCATTCCCTTCCTCAGAAAGTCTTTCCTTGCTTCGCTTGTTCTTCAGTGTGTCTTCACATTCTTCCCAAGTTTTTCCCAACTTGTCCCAAGGTTCATCCATTATCATCCACTGATATGCCTGTTCCTCAGCAAAGCCTTGCTTTGCAGTTGACATTCTGGTCTCTGGCTTTGACTCCCAGTCTGAAAGATATTTAAAAAAATTCAAGTTTCTTATGCTAGAAGAAAGAAAACAGCAGCACTGAAACATGGGATGGAATATGGAAGTCTGAAAGCTCTCAAACAGGAAAGGGTAGGGAGTAGGGGGAGGTAAGCAAGATAAAGATTGGACAGCAGAGGGGGAGAGGGCGCAGCTTATGACTTTCAGAGCTGGAAGGAATCCCAAAGCCTGGAGGGAGGGGAAATTGGACTTCTTCTGTTTGGTGGTGGAAGGTAGGCAAAACCAGGATGTATGAACCTCCCAAGGCTTACCAAAATGGATACCCAATGCCCTCTTCAAGCGGCTCATGAAGGTGTAAATGACCCTGCCAAAAGGAATCTCAGAGAATTGCTGAGGATACTGAAACCCTCAAGGATATGAGTGGTATTTCATCACTAATGCTGAGCAAAGGCAAAAACTTCTTTAGGGGAGAGAGACTAGGTAAGGATGCACTTGCCTTGAATCACGAGGATCAAATCCAATGGGCATTAAATGGAAACTATCCAGTAGGGAAGAAGAAAGTCACCCATGTATATCCACCCAGCTAGGGATGAGAAGGGCACTATAGAGGAGCAAGGAGGCTAGCCCTAGGGACACCCAGGAACTCACAGGAGACTAAATCTAAGAAGAGCAAGGAATGCTATGGATGACCAAAAGGGCTCATGTTCTAAAAATAATCCAAGGGGAAAAAAAGAGGGAAGTTAAAGGTGAGTGCCTATTCTGTGTGTATGCCACAATGGTTTAAAAAAAAAATCAGGGAGAGAGGATTCTGGGAAGATGGCGGAGTAGGTCAGAAAATTCCAAGCTCTCCAGATTTCCCCCACAAATGATACAAAGTTGTGCCTCAATACAAACATAGAGCAGTTAAAAATAAACAAGAGTTGGGGCAGAACAGTGGTCCTCCTGGGACAATCAGAGAAGATCCGAAGAAAAATCCCAGCAAGAGGTTTGGTCCTTGTGAAGTGTGAACACCTCCAGGACAGTTCTGCTGAAATAGCAGGTGGTGAGCCCTGAGGCTACCTGGGTAGGCAGGTAGCCTCTCAGCCCCAGCTGAGAGGTGAACTTTCACCTCCCGGACAGTGTCTTGAGTCAGGCCTCTAAGCCAGGGAAGACTGAGGGAACCCCTGCTGATAAGGGACATCAGGCCCAGCAGTGCTGCTGAGATGTGGCCCTGGGCTAGAAGGAACCAGCACACCCCAGGTGAGGGCAGAAGTAGTGCGGTGGGGACACACTGGCTGCGGACACTTACAGGAGGGTGCAATTCTTAGTCTAGGTTCCAGGCAGAGGGGAGGACTGAAGGAAGATCTGAGGGCAGAGACACCATCCCCCATACCCCAGGACTAGCGGTGATTACAATAACAAGTACTATAAATTGAAAAAAACAAGCAAACAAACATGAACAAGCAAAGGAGAAAAAAAATCCAACTATAGAAAGTTACTATGGCAACAGAGAAGACTGGGATTCATCTTCAGAGGATACAGAAGCAAAAAAAGCCTCTCCTACCACAAAGAGTAATGTCAAATGGTCACCTGCCCAAAAAGAATTCACAGAAAAACTCAAAAAGACTTTAAAAATCAAATGAGAGAAACTGAGGTAAAAGTTTTAAAAATAAGGACAATCCAAGAAAAACAAGATCATGAAAAGAAAGTCAACTAATTAGAAAAGGAGATCCAGAATCTTAAGGAAGAAAATGACCTCTCGAAAATTAGAATTGGGCAAGGGGAAACCAGTGAAGTTATAAGAGACCAAGAAATAATAAAACAAAATATGAAGAATGAAAAAAATAGAAAAGAATATGAAACATCACATAAGAAAAACAACTGATCTGGAGAACAGATCAAGAAAAGAAAACAAGAATAATTGGATTACCTGAAAGCCATGCTCAAAAAAAAGAATCTTGATACAATACTACAAGAAATAATTAAAGAAAATTATCCTGAAGAGTTAGAATAAGAGGAGAAAGTAGAAACATCAAAAATCCATCGATCACCACCTGAAAGAAATCCTATGAGGAACACCTACAGGAATATCATAGTCAAATTCTGAAACCCCCAGCTCAAGAAGAAAATACGAGCAACAAGAAAAAAAAATTTAAATATGGCGGTGCCACAATTAGAATCACACAAGACCTAGCAGTGGCAACACTAAAAGACTGCAGGTCTTGGAACATGATATATATACACATACATACATACATACATGTATGGCTGTGGCAGAAAACATCATACCCAGCAAAGTTAAGCATAATCCTGAATAAAAAAAAAAAAGGATATTTAACAAATTGCCAGACTTTCAGGATTTTGTTTAAAAACCAAACCAAACCAAACCCTGAACTTAGCAGAAGATTTGACATATGAGATCCAAGAGAAATATGAGGTACATATCAAAGACTAATTATAAGGAACTCAAAAAGGACAGACTATTTACTTACTTTATGAGAAAATGTAAAATGTATGTCTAAGATTGTTACTAGTAATTGAATAGTTCAAAAGAAAGATTGGGGTATACCCGAGTATGATGTGATTCTAAAAATTAAAACAATTTAGGAAAAGGTAAAAAGAGTAATTATCTTATGCAAATGAGGTGAAAGAGGAAGAACTGACACAGAGGAATTAGATGGTAATTCTAGAAATCTACTCTCATTGGGAATGGGTTAAAGAGGGAACAATACACATATATTATATATTATACATATATATTATATATGTATATATTATATATTACATATGTATATAGTATATATTATACATATATATTATATATATGTATAAAAATCTCCTAAATTCAGAAAGAAATAAAAGGCTAAGGAGACAAGGAGGGGGAGAGGATAAGGGTGGGATCTTTAGAGGGGATGGTGAAGGAATAGGATAAGGGGAGGGAGCATACAAGGGTGTTTAGATTAAGGAGAATGGGAGGATAAGGGAGGGATCCTTGGATATGGGGTAGGTTAAGTAACTGGTAGAGTAAAGTAGAGGAAGTAGGAGGGATAGGAAATAAGAAATACAAACATAAAATGAAGATCAGGAGTAGAATTTATTAGGCAAAAAAAAGCAGGGGTAATAATCATGATCTCAGACAAAGTTAAAGCTAAAACAGATTTAATCAAAAGAGGAGAACAGGGAAACTATGCTACTGTCAGCCATAATCAATATTGTTTTAGACTATTTAAATAACGAGACAGTATAAGGTTGGAATATTGCTGTGGTATAGGAAATGCTGAGTCGGCGGACTTGGAAGACTATGTCTATGTGTATGTGTGTATGTGTGTATGTGCGTATGTGTGTATGTGTGTATAAAGATATTTGTGCTTAGTTGTAGTCTTCTTGGGGGAGGAAGAGGGAAGAAAGAAGAGAGTACAAAGTACACAGCAGAGAAGAAAAGAGAACTCTCCAGGAAGCGAAGAGAAGCAGGACAGCTCTGAGTGCCCCCCCCCAAAATGTGCAGCATTCATGGGCTTTCTGGAAATGGAAACTGATTGCTGTCTGTTCTGGATCCTCTCTCATGTTCGCCTATGCACATGGCAATGCTTTCTCTCTCTTTTCTTATTCCATATTTATTAGTATTTAAGTTTATAATATGTTTCCTTTTCTTTTCTTATTGTATATTTATGTTTAAAATAAATTAATAAAAAACAAAACAAAACAAAAAATTCAGGGCAAAAGTGGAATAACCAGAGTCTGCCAAGGAAAAGAACCTGGCGCCTGCAAAGATCAGAATGAAGAGGCGAATGGGGAACTGATCCTGAAGGAAACGGCGAGCGACTGAGACCACCAAGCGGCCTTGGAGGGTTTCGGAGTGACCGGCTCCATGTGAACTGCATGTGAGCTTCTCAGGGGCTGCTAGCATGCCTCCCCTAAGTCTCTCCAGAGCCCTGGGCTGGGCTAAGGTCTCTTCTAGAGAGGAGTCCAGGAAGAGGGGATGGCCTCCCTCCTGTACCTGACCAGGTGCTGGGAGGGGCTGCTCCCTGGGCCCTCCATGGCTCATCCCTGGGCTCCAGATGACAGATCACCTTGGGTGTGGAAACGGGAAGTCCTGCACATGGAGAGAGAAATAGCACCTAGCTGTCTGGGCTGGAGATAGCGCTCTCCCCAGTCCAAGGCCCAGCCCTTATTCAGGAGGGAGGAGAAGATATAGTGTGGAGGCCCAGAGCATGGGGCACGGGGACCTCTGCCGAGATCCCTGTGTTATGCTCCTGTGAAAGCTGGGGAGACGACCTCACAGAACACGCAAGCGGGACAGGCTGGGCCTCAAGGGTGGAAAGAGGCCTGGAAGATCCAGCCTCAGGGGCCACACAGCCAACCTGACCCCTGCCACACCAAGGACAAAAAGAGAGGAAAGCATGAGGGTGCCAAGCAGCAGGCTGAGCAGGAGAGGCAGAGGGGAGCCGCTTACCCAGGGACACCAAGTTCCGGTAGTTCTCCAGCATCACGTCCTGGTACAGTTCCCTCTGAGCGAGGCCCAGTTGCCCCCACTCCTCAGGCGTGAAGTCCACGGCCACGTCCCTGAAGGTCACGGGTTCCTGAAATCAAGGATCCACACCTGACAGTCTGTCGAGGAGTAAAGCCCCACTTTAGGGCTGGGGGAGGTGTACAGGAAGAGGCCTGATCACGGCGGGGTTAGTGGGGGAAGTTAGGGCCCAAACCTCAGAGTGAAGACTCAAGTCTGATGCCAGCAGGTCGGCCTGGGTGGGAAGGACTTGGAGAGCCCAGAGCTCCCTGCGTAGCCATGGGCTGGACTACCCTTGCTGGAGTCTCTAAGCAGGGCCAGGCCTGGCCCTCCCAGCTCAGCTTCTGTGCCTCTTCCCTTTATGACTCTGGCCAAGCCGAGCCCTGTCTGGGCCTGAGACTGCCATGGCTACCCAGGAAGGGCTAGGCAGGGACAGTTTTCAAGGAAGGAAACAAGCACTGAGGGAGTGCCTGCTGTATGCCAGGAGCTGTGCTACACGCTTTACAATGATTACTTCATTTGATTCTCACAACAGTCTTTCAAGGTAGGCGCTATTCTGTTAGTATCCCCATTTTAAAGATAAGAAAATTGAGGCAGGCAGCAGCAACCAGACTCGGCCAGGGTCACACAGCTAGGAGTGCCTGAGGCTGGATTTGAACTCAGGTCTTTTTGACTCCAGGCCCAGTGCCATCCACTGTTCTACATCACTGCCCACCGGGCCACCTACCTGCCGAGGATCGAATGGACAATCTCACTAGCAGGACCACAACTGAAACAGAATAAGTGTATTTGGTTCAAGCCTGGGATGGCACCTGCCTGGGGAGCTCTCACATCTTAGTGACAAGGCAGAAGTATGGTCCCCAAAGGCCTGGGTTCGAGGTCAAGCCTCTTCCTCAATCTGAGCATATTTACCCCAAGCCTCCTTTTATTTCCTGAGCTCCTGGGAGCATTACAGAAAGGCATAATGGGGAGGGGCTCTAGTGGCCTAATCCCTGCTTTACTGAGCCTCACTTTACTCCTGTAACATGGAAAGATGATACAAGGATGGGAGCTGGGTCTTTTTGTGGTGACAAAGAATTGGAAATTGAGAGGATGCCCATCAATTGGGGAATAGCTGAGCAAGTTGTGGTATATAAATGTAATGGAATACTGTAGTGCTATAAGAAATGATGAACAGGCTGACTTCAGAAAAACCTGGAAAAACTTGTATGGTCTGATGCTGAGTGAAGTAAGCAGAACCAGGAGAACATCGTACACAGTAACTGCCATGTTGTGCAATGACTAATATTGATAAACTTAACCCTTCTCAGCAATACAACGATCTAAGACATCTCCAGAGGCCTTGTGATGGAAAATGCTATTCACATCCAAAGAAAGAATTATGGAAGTTGAATTGCTATTTTTTTTCCCTCTTCTGTTGAGTTTTGTTTCCTCTTTCTGATGGTTCCTCCTAATAGTTTTAATTTTTACTTACAACACCACTAATGTGAAAATATGTTTAATAGGAATGTAAATGTATAGCCTATATCAGATTGTGCATCATCTTGGGGAGGGTGGTGGGGAGGAAGGGGGAGAAAAATTTTAAACTCAAAAGTATATGGAAGTGATTATTGATAAATCAAAATAAATTAATAAAATTTAAAAAAAAAAGGATGGGAGCTGGGATGGGTTCTTGAAGATGCTGGTTCTTACAGAAGCCAATGAGGACCAGACTAATCAATCCATTAAGGTGCATTTTTTTTTTTAGGCAATTGAGGTTAAGTGACTTGCCCAGGGTCACACAGCTAGTTAAGTGTGAAGTGTTTGGTCTGAGGCCACATTTGAACTCGGGTCCTCCTAACTTCAGAGCTGGTGCTCTATCCACTGTACCACTGAGCTGCCCTAAGCATTTCTTTTCTTTTCTTTTCTTTTTTTTTTTTTGGTTAGGCATTGGGGGTTAAGTGACTTGCCCAGGGTCACACGGTTAGTAAGTGTTATGTGTCTGAGGCCAGATTTGAACTCAGGTCCTCCTGAATCCAGGGCCCATGTTCTATCCACTGCACCACCTAGCTACCCCTGCCCCAAGCATTTCTTAAGAGCCCACTGTGTGCCAGGCACTGTGCTAGGGCTGTAAAGACAAGGGTGAAACAGGCCCTGCCCTCAGGCACTGACATTCTATCAGGGGAAACCCCATGTATATACAGTGTAGAGGTAGACAGAAGACACATTCAAAACACAGAATGAAGGCTCTAGCAGTGGGACAGGCTAGGAAGACCTCCTGTGAGAGGTGGGATGTGAGCTGGGACTCCAAAGGAGCCAGGAGGCAGAGATGAGGAAGGAAGGCATTCCTCACATGGAGGAGAGCCAGTGCAAAGATCAGAGACCAAAGATAAGAGTGTCATGTAGGAGGTACGGCAAGAAGGCTCTAGTTTGGGCAGGAACGAAAGAAGTAATATGGAAAAAGTAAATGTAATATGAGGCTGGAAACATAGGAAGAGATCAAACTATTAAGAGTCTGAAATGACAGAGACATTTGTATTTGCTCTTGGAGGTGATAGGAAACCACTGGAGGTTATGGGGGAAAGGCGCATGGTCATACCTGTGCTTTAGGAAAATCCCTTTGATGACTTAACAGAAGATGGACTGGAGTGGAAAGAGACTCAGAGCATGGAGAATCACCAAAAGGCTATTGCAACAGTCCAGGCATGAGGTGAAAAGGGCCCTCACCACAGTAGGGACCATGTCCGATTAGAGAAGGGGGCATATTGGAGAGGTGCTGCAGAGGTGAAATGGACCAGAGATGGTGCAGAACTGAAATGGACCAGAGATGCTGCAGAGATGAAATCTACAAGAAATGCTGCAGAGGGAAAATTTACAAAAAAAAAAAAATGCTGCAGAGGTGAAATGGACCAGAGATGATGCAGAACTGAAATGGACCAGAGATGCTGCAGAGATGAAATCTACAAGAAATGCTGCAGAGGGAAAATTTACCAAAAAAAAAAAATGCTGCAGAGGTGAAATGGACCAGAGATGCTGCAAGGTTGTGAAATGGACCAGAGATGCTGCAGGGGGTGAAATGGGCCAGAGATTCTGCAGAGGTGAAATGGACCAGAAGTGCTGCAGGAGTGAAATAGACCAGAGATGCTGCAGAGGTGAAATTGATCAGAGATGCTGCAGAAAGGAAATCTACAAAAAGTGCTGGAGAGGTAAAATCCACCAGAGATGCTGCACAGATGAAATCAAAAGGCCTTGGTACCATACTGGATATGAGGGGAGGAAGGGAGGGAGAGGGAGAGAAAGAGAGTAAGGGCCAGGAATGAGAGAATTTGGAACTTAAGATTTTTTTTAAGTGTTGAAAATAAAAAAGTAAACATTTTAAGTTGCTATTCTTTATTTAATATTTTCCCAATTACATGTAAAAATAAATTTTAACATTCATTTTTAAAATTGAGTCCCAAATTTTCTCCCTCCCTCCTTCTCTTCTCAAACACAGACACCTCTCATCCCCCAAAAAACAAATAAAAAATAAAGTTTAAAAAAGTATGCTTCAATCTGCATTCTGACTCCATGGTTCTTTTTCTGAAAATGGACTGCATTTTTCATCTGTCAAGATATTTGGAGATACTCTACTTTCAAAAGCTAAGGCCCAGCAAGCAGACTGTGCCCTGAGCTTGGCATAACAACAATCCTTTGCACTCACCCTCTGGATGATCACCCTCAGGCAAAATGTATTGTGTGAAACCCTCCCCAAACCATTCTGAAAAATCTAAGACCTCGAGACCTGAGAAAAACCTAAAAACCTGGATTGACCAAACAGGAGAAAGACATTTTGGCCTACTCTGAGCTTAACCTACATAATACTTTGTATGCTCTGGTATGCTTTGCTTTGCCCTCTGAGTGAATCCAAAATGCCCCTTCCTGTGTCCGCAACTACAAGGCCAGATGAAGCTGATCAGGAGCATTCTTCTATTTAGGACTGTCCAGGGTAGGACACCTTGAACTAGACACTATCTTGAATAATGAGACTTTTCTTATCTTGATATATTATGAACACATGTTATGCTAGATAGTCATGTTAATGTCATATGCAGTAATAATCATTTAAAATCAATCGAGCCCCAATAAGAGCCAAAAACATGAATTAATCTTTTCTCTCTGAGTGAGTTGAGAATGCCCCTTCCCATGTCAATAGCTAAAGCTGATCAAGAGCATCCTTATGTTTATGACCACTAAAGTGTGCCTTTAACCCAGACTTTTAATAATGGGAATTTTTCTCATCTTGGTGGTAAAGGAAACACAAACATCCTGGATCTTACATCTGCCTATCTTGTTCAAATCCTTTCTCATACTCTGGTTAAACACACAGAGATCATAAAACTGAGTCACACAGACATCCTGAGTCAGGGTTTAAATGTCCTAAAATTGCTTGATTCAGTCAGAGTTCAAGCTCTGGCTCCATGTAACATGTCACTAACTTAAGGGAATATACAATATGGATTTACTTATCACCTAGCTTGTTCTCTCTTTAACCAAACTTTCAGGTCAACAATAGTTGAGACTACACACACACACACACACATCTATACATAATGATAGAAGAAACAGAGACGTCCTAGATCTATCATTTCAATTGACACCTTGATATTCTCTTATCTTATTGTATTTACGATCTATCCAATTAAGAAATTCCTTTCTCATATCATGGTTAACACATATGGAGACTATGAATCTGGCTGATGCAGGCACCCTGAGCCAGGGACAGAGGGGTGAGAAGGAACTGCTCTGAAGATATAAGGTCCCCTTTGTCTGTCCATCCTTGGGCTCATTTCCGCCATGAGCTCCCATGCATATCTCTACATGCATGTTCCGCCAGTTTTGAGAGAAATAAACCTGCACAGCACACGCAGCCTAAGTTTGTTTATCTTTCTTAGAATGAACTCAGTAGTGGCTGACAGCTGCTTTGACCAGCACCAGGTGTTCACTGACGGCTGTATGATTTTCATATTAACTGATGATTTCCAAGGGACCCGAGAGCCAGAAGCAGCCGCTGTGCCACAGCAGAAAGTAATAAATCCAACCTCCTGACACTTCACG